TTCCAGACAAATCAAGACCACTGATTTGAGGAGCTCAATTTGTGTTCATTAATAAGACAAGGAAAGAAAGAAAGCATAAAATAATAGCAATACAGAAAATAACTGTGACATGTTTCTTTACAAAGGTACCATCATCTCCATCTGCTTCTTTCCCTGTCCAGTTATAGATAAGATAGTTACACTGAATTATTTGCTCACTGTAAATATTTTCATTTCTATATTTTTCAGAAATTAAAATTTGCACAATCCATCATATACTGCAGATCAGTTGCCACCAACATGACTTCTGAAAAGCATTTGATGTGCAAATCAACAGTAATAATGGGGTCTCATATATCATATCTGAACCTTACAGGTAATGGTTGTTGTTGGTTTTTTTAGGGAAAAAAAGGAAAAGAAGGAATTCTATCACTTTTAAATGGTTTCCTCTGCCTTTTCAGCATAATTTTGCAAGATTCACATAACATTTAGCAAACAAATGTTATGATTATTTCATTCCTATTCAACTGCCTGGATGAGTTCCTGCTATTTTCTTGGCAAGATTTTTGGAAGTGGTATGCCATTGCCTGCTTCATAGGGCTGAAAGAGAGTAACTGTCACCCAGTGAGGTTAGAACTCACTGTCTCCCAGTTTCTTGCTTGGTGCCTTAACCGCTACATCAAATTGGCTTCAGTTTCATAATGAGTACTTTTTCTAATCTTCATATAACATTTAAGATAAATTGCCAGAACTTTAGATAATCTTTAGATATTCTTGATTAAGTCTTACAAAATAGTGTTAATGGTAGAGAGAAAGCAAATACTTTCAAAGTATTTCACTATTGACACTGCAGCCAATTTATTTAGGTGAAGCTATTTATTAAACATATTGTGTTTTATATGTGAATTATATTATGATTAAACTGTATAGTTGTTTCATTTAGGTAAACATACGTTTTCCCACAAAATTACACCGCTGATATTCACAAAAACAGTGCAATTTCATGAAGCTCCTGGGGAAACTTTTATCTTCTTGTGAATCCCAATTTCATTAAGTATTAAAAGAAGGCATCCAAAAATCATTTGTTTTGAAAGAGGCAAAGTGCCTTTTTCTTCTTATAACCATTATTTTTATATTAAATTTTAGAAGTTTAAAACAGCCAAAAATATATTGGAGAAATGGGTTACTAAGTGCTTAAGCCTCAGTTCATTTCATGTTATCATCTGAAATGCTGATACCATTAATATTAGTGTAAAATTATACTAAAAGCTGGGCCTGGTGGCGCAGCTGGCTAATAGCCTGTTATTAACATTCAGCTGCCTGCAATTATTGCAAGTTCGAATCTCCCCAGGCTCAAGGTTGACTCAGCCTTCCATCCTTTCTAAGGTAGGTAAATTGAGGACCCAGTTTGTGGAGGCAATAAGCTGACTTTGTATAAAAATATATACAAAAGTATGAAGGCTATTGCTTAACGCATTGTAAGCCGCCCTGAGTCTCCGGAGAAGGGCGGCATATAAATTAAATTTTTTAAAAAATAAAATATTCAATAAAATAATCAATATTAGTTTTAGTCCGGGAACATGTTATTATTTCAATCATCAGATGAACATAACAGGAGATGCCTATTTTGAAATTAGGGTGAAAAATAATCCAAGTGCCATTAAGGCAGTAACTTTATTATGCTAATGCCAACTGAACTGAAAGCTTGCATGCAAAATTTTAATCGGTCTAATAAAGTTACATTAGTTATTATTCATATTATTATTAAAGTTGTTTAATTGTCTTAATAATTACATTATTTAGTTTTTAAAACTCCTCACAAACCTTTTCCAATCTAAAGCTACTCTTTGTGTCCTTGCCTAAGTCTTAAAAGCATATATAAATTTATTCTATGGGTTATTCCATCTTTATCACTCATTTTATTAATTTTTAAAAGTGTCCCTCCTTTTTGTAAATTAAAGTCATAGAGCTTTGGACTGCAGATCTTTCTCAAGAATTTCCCATAAATTGTTCCTTTCTTTTCTATGCATACTTCTAACAGTGTAAACCATATTTAATATTAACTAGCATACATGTTGTACATTATTTGTAATCAGCTACAAAAATGCAGCTAAATTCTGTATAGATCAGGGGTATCAAACTCAAGGCCTGCGGGCCACATCCAGCCCACGGGGTGCTTAGATCTGGCCCATGGGGCCACCCTGGATACAGTGAAGGACCGGCCCATGGTGCCTTTGCCAGCACAAACAGAGCTCAGGAGAGCCACACATGGCCCTCCCAAGTTCTGTTTTCACTGGCAGAGGATTGCAGGAGGCCATCACAGCCGAAAACAGAGCCCTTTTCACTGGCAGAGTGCTCAGGCCACCACGGATGCCCCCGACACAAGTGACGTCAAGCTGGCCACACACACACATGAGGTCAAACACAACAGAATGCAGCCCTCAATGAAATCCAGCTTGACATCCCTAGTATAGATGATCCATGCTTGTATGACCTTTGCATTTAGAAAAGCAATGACGCTGGCATAAATTTAGAATTAAACTTCAATTACTTCTCCAATCCCATATAACTTTTTTTCCCTTAGATCACACATATGTATCTTACTGGATAGTTTCATATTTTAGACATGGAATATTTAAAAAAAGGCTTCTAAGTTTTCTTAGGGAGCTTGTCCAATTGCTGAACTGATCTTGAGAATTACGAACACAATAAATGTGTTCAGGAGTTACTCAGTGCTCTTTGTATCCCTGTCTAAGTCTTCAGAGACTAAGCTCAACAAGCCCTTGCATGCTGCAGGAACTTACTCATCTGTATCACTAAACATATTCATTATTTAAAACAATGTACTCCCTGCCACCTCATTGCTGTACCTGTGGTCTAAAGTTCTTTTTTTTATATACAATACTAACACAGTAGTATAATGAATTTCTTGAAATACCAGTTTTGTTGCTGAAAGGCAGCTTTAGAAGACAAACTTTCCCAAATGGATTAAATGTCAAACTTTATATGATCCACTGCAGAAAAATACTACAAAGCTTAACTTAAAAACTGTTGGGTCTCATTCCATTTCTTGTAGTGGTCAACCAGAAGCTTCTCAAAAACTCAAAAGAATAGAATAAAGCAACAATAATTTCCTGATGTCATTCCTCAGTGATTGTATTGAGTTGAATATGGAAACACACAAACCTAAATATCATGACCAATAGCACTCTTTCTAGACACTCAACCTGTACAAAATAAGGGACCCTTAAGTGATCTTTGAGAACATTGAGTCTAACGTGCAGCTGATTTCTTGCAACTTCAGCATTTTTGAAAGCTTAACCTATTTTTACTAACCATATCTTGTTCTCAAGAGCCGTGGTGATGCAGTACTGCTGTCTACTTCTGCTGATCACTGGCTGCCAGCAGTTTGGCAGATCGAATCTCACCAGGCTCAAGGTTGACTCAGCCTTCCATCCTTCCGAGGTGGATAAAATGAGGACCCAGATTGTTGGGGGCAATATGCTGACTCTGTAATACCGCTTAGAGAGGGCTGTAAAGCACTATGAAGTGCTATGGAACCCGCACTGCATATTGGACATAAATACAATTGAGTCCAGAGTCCAGAGATGTTTTATGAGAAGAGTCCTCCATTCCTCTACCTGCAATAAAATACCTTATGCCACCAGACTTCAAATTTTGAGCTTAGACAACTTAGAACTATGCCGACTTCGGTCTGATGTAAATATAGTACATAAAATTATCTGCCACAATGTTCTATCTGTCAATGACTACTTCAGCTTCAAACACAACAATACATGAGCAAATAATAGATACAAACTCAAGGTAAACCTCTCCAAACTCGATTGCAGAAAATATGACTACAGTAACAGAGTGGTCAATGCCTGGAATGCACTACCTGACTCTGTGGGGTTTTTTTTCCCCAAACCCCCAAAACTTTAACCTTAAACTGTCTACTGTTGACTTCACCCCATTCCTAAGAGGTCTGTAAGGGGCGTGCATAAGTGCACCAGCATGCCTACCGTCCCTGTTCTAATATTCCTTTTTACTCTTACTCTTTTCATATATTCAAATTATGTTTATACTTTTACCTGTTATTTTATATATGCTCAACAAATAAATAAATAAATAAAAATAATAAATAAATAAATATAAGTCTTAGTGCTATTGCTATTGCTATTAAATATTTCCTACTAGTAAGAAAGAACATCTCCGGAGAAAGTCCACTCCATTGCTGCACAATTCTTCTATTTCAGTTCCTTCTAATGCTGAACTTTGCCTTTTTATAATTTTCATCCATTAATTCTAGTGCTGCTCTCTGAGACAATTACTCAATTACTTGTTCACAATTACTTGAATTTAAGCATTTACAGAAGGCTGTATGAATGTGTATAGCAGTGCATTAACAGACAGTTATAATCAAATGCTCTTTACTACTATCAAGTGTATAATTAATTCATTTGGATAAATACATATTATAAAAGGATACTATTTTATTGAAACTCCCAGTTTCCTATCCTCGGTATAAAATCAAAGAGACATGATGTTAAAGCACTAATTGTCATGACTTGGCAGCTTATATGCCATTTCTACAATCTTAATTAAATAGTACAATATCAAGATTAGTTTTAAGTTATATATGTAAACCTGGTAGAAATCTGGTCAGTTCTTATGGCACCATATGCTCCAGTCCTACTATACTGAATAGATCTTAGGAAATAGATTTATTTGACTGAGGAGATGCCTAGAAAATATTTCTCAAAGACTCTTGGGTTGGGCAAAGAAGGGAGCTTCAGCATAATACCATAATAAAGGAAAATGACATACACCATATTGCAGATTCTTATGACTTATGATTCCTGGGGCTGTGAACTAGAATCAAAAGAGAAATGAGTCAGACTTTTCTGCCCATCATGGAGAGCCAACTTCAATGTGATTATGATTTCTGTTAATACTTACCTGACAGCATCGTTGAAATAGTTACAGTTTTTAACCAACCTTTTTAACCATCATTTCTGTAGATCATCAATCTCCGGGTCAAGACATCAATCTTTGGGCCAATTATTCACAAGACCTCATTGGGAATTCTACCAATAATGAATTTACAACTATTGTTTTACCTCTGCTTTATCTCCTTATATTCTTGGCAAGCATCTTTCTGAATAGCTTGGCAGTATGGATTTTCTTCCACATCAGAAGCAAGACCAGCTTTATTTTATACCTCAAAAACATTGTAGTCGCAGATTTGCTGATGACTCTGACATTTCCGTTTAAAATTATTCAAGATTCAAGACTGGGGCCGTGGTACTTCCATTTTTTCCTATGCCGGTATACAAAAGTTTTGTTTTATGCCAGCATGTATACAACAATTGTTTTCCTTGGACTTATTAGCCTTGATCGATATTTGAAAGTGGTAAAACCATTTGGAGAGTCCAGGATGTATAGCATTACTTTCACTAAAATTCTGTCACTTGTGGTTTGGATTGTTATGGTATTTTTAGCTTTGCCAGATCTGGTCTTCACTAATAGTTACCCAACTAAGATAAATACCAGTGACTGCTTAAAACTGAAAAGCCCATTGGGAGTCAAATGGCACAACGCTGTCATTTACTTCAATAATGGCATATTTGTCATTGTGCTGATTGTATTAATAGGATGTTATATTGAAATATCCAAATATATCTATAAATCCAGCAAGCAGTTTATTAGCCCTTCAAGTCACAAGAGGAAACACAGTCAAAGCATAAGGGTGGTGGTGTCCGTATTTTTTATTTGCTTTGTGCCATATCATCTATGCACAATCCTTTTTAATTTGTGCCAGTTAGATTATTATTTAGGTGCTTCATCCCACAAGATCCTGTACTACTGCAAGGAAGTGACTATTTTCCTATCGGCAAGCAATGTCTGCCTAGATCCAATCATCTACTTTTTTATGTGTAGATCGTTTTCACGGAGGCTTTTCAGAAAATCAAACATACGGACAAGGAGTGAAAGCATCAGATCCTTTCAGAGTATCAGAAAGTCAGAGGTGCGAATTTATCATGAATATACCGATTTGTGACATCATTGCTAAGCATATATTTTTTTTAAATTGTTATTTGTACCAATGTTTTCTATTTGTAAATAAAGGTACTTTGCTTGTTTTACAAATTTGAATATATTTTGTGATTAACATTTACATCCTTTCCATGATTTTCGGTTTGAAAAGGAAGAAGACAGTTCACTAATTATTACAAAATGTATGTCCATTGACAAGTGAGGATTTTTTTACTTACATTAGGATTATTTAAAAAGATATATGGTGCCATCTAGTGGACAATAGCAGGGTTGTGATACAATGCAAGGACTGAGCAGCTGAAACAATGCTATCTAATGACAGTTCAAAACTGTAGGCTAAGTTGCTTTTCTCCAAGGCTGCTCACAGCTATTTCTGAGGCCAACTTCAAAAATTCCAGTCTGGTGAGTTGGCAATGGGACTAAGACATAAACATAAGGCCTGATTGGTTGTTTTCTTATTTCTTACCCTTCCTATCAGTGGTGGAATGCTGGTGGTTTAACAACCAGTTCGGGAAGTGTACGCTTTGTGCGCGCATGCTCCTAAGGCATTTGAACACAGCGCTGAAAATGGAGCATTTAGAAGCATTCAGCTTTTTAGCTTCCAAATCAGCAACAGTACGTAGAACGGGGGGGGGGTGAAATCAGCTGTGCTGTGTTATTGAGTTACAAAGCAGTTAATAAAGGACAGGATACAGCAGGGGCAAGTCTTCAGCGCTACCGGTGAACCTGAACTGGTCCGAACTGGCTGAATACCACCTCTGCTTCCCATCCCTGCCTTGCTGATTGTTCCCTCTAACTAGTTCTCTTTTTTTCCTTAGTTTTCCCAGATATTCACACACACACACACACACACACACACACACACAGAGAGAGAGAGAGAGAGAGAGAGAGAGAGAGAGATTATGCCATTATTGCCCTTCCTGCCTTTCCCATATCTTTTGGTAATAATCTTTCCTTTGCTGACTTATAGATACCATTATTGCAGTGATGCTACAGCACTCAAAGCATTAAGGACATGTTGTCCTTTTACTTCTACTTATCTGAAGATCCATGGGAATTCTGTAGCAAAGAACAGTGATTCTAACGTTTCTACATTCTAAACATCCTAAAGATGATGTTTAAAAAATAAACAAAAGGGAAGAGAAGTCTGGAGGTAGAAAATCAGGGGGTGCATACAGTATCTCACCATTGGTAGATATCAAAAGGGAGTTCACTGAGAGAGGTAAGGGTTGAATGGAGCATCAGTTTCTGGGGTTGAGGCTAGTTCATTGACTTAACTGGCCATTGGTAGATCAATGAGATTATTAAAACAAAATAGCATCTGTCAATCATCGGAGGACATTGTAGCCTGATAGAGCAGAGCAAAATGGCTGCCCAGAACCATGACCCACCATTGGGAGGAAGCATGCAAGGTGTTTTGACCAATGAAAGCTAAGATGTCAATAGATTGAAAGGAAGCCTTGAAGACATCTGCTTAGGCCAGAAAATAGCATTTTTGAACTCACAGCTGTAACAGATGTAAAGTTTATTTCCATTGGCCTGGGAAAGGGAGAAAGAGAATGTCATAGGTTTCAGCAAGCAAGAAATGATAGGTGGCTATACCAGCGATGGGTCTAAACAAAGTATGGTTTTGCCCAAACTCACAGTTGCCCAACTAGTATTCTATAAAACTTAAGTCAGGCTATAATATAATCAACATATATGTATGAGTATGTATACATATGAGTTTTAGACAGAAAACTCATAATAAACTACTTTTAATACATCCCACAAGATATGATTGGATAGCTTTCTCCAATATAGTTTCCAGTCAGGTTCGTTTTGGCATAAACCACAAGAATAATTTAGATAGCAAACAAATAATCAGGAAAGGATTCACACTGTGCCAAGATAAGTGGTAGCCTGTTTCAATCTATTTTCTCTTTGAAGAAAAAGAATACTAATTAAAATTCAAGCCAATCTATTTACTCATATTTACAGCACTATCTGAAGTAAAATATGAAACATACTAACTTCTCCACAAAATTTTCCTTAGGCAATCATAATGCAAATCTTTAAAATAAGCAGTATAAGCGAAGATGCCATTTTGAATTTTATCAAATGGAAGGTTAAAAAGTAGGATTATTAACAGCAGTTATATTGCATAGCCAAAAGGTGGCAATATATTACTGTTAATAACATATAAACTGACATGCCTAACAAGTTCACACTATCATTAATTCAAGGTAGGTTGGACTTAGTTTGCTTGTGGCTATATAGGAATTCTAGGCTGATTTCTTTTTTAACTCCATCCCCAGGTTCTGCCACTTCTACACTCCAAAAATTATTTTTTTTAAATGTCTCTAATGTTTAGTTAAGCACAATGCAATTGCAACTCTTTGATCTTATGACAGTTATCTTAATACATGCATCAAGCCTTTTTAAAATTCATATAAATTTAATTATGCATTATTTTAAAATAGGCCCACTTCAAAGGGTTTATCAGCTGCTAACAGCAACATATAAAATGCATTAAAAACATGAAAAGGAAATAATATAAACCCTATAAAAATATTCATCAATTCCTATGATGGCCATTTACAATCAACAAATAGCCAAAGAAAGATAGAAAAAGGAGTGTATTAGTTTTGCTTGTTTGTGAAAGGCACTCAGAATTGGGGCAATAGAAATATCCAGGATATTCCAAAGACTGGTGCTGCCACAGCAAAAGCCTGTTTTATAGTCCTTGTCCCATGGCGCTTTTGAGGAGTGGGGACTCCTAAGAGACTTCGTAGATTCGACCACATAGGCAGAATCAGTTCTGGCAAGACAATACTGGATGAATCCCACTGTTGCATCTTACCGGACTTTAAAGCAGGGGTGAAATGCTCCCAGTTCGGACTAGATCGCCCGATCCGGTAGCAATGGCGGTGGGTGGTTCAGAGAACTGGTAGCAAAAACCCCTTCGTCCCCCACCATGGCCAGCTGAGCCGCGCAATCATCAGAGGCTTTTTTTTTTTAACTTTTAAAAGCATTTTTTCTTTGGCCGAAAAAATGCTTTTAAAAGTAAAAAAAAAGCCTTTGATGATCGCGCGGCTCAGCTGGGATCGCCAGAGGCTTTTAAAAGCATTTTTTTACAACGTCTTCAGCCAAAGAGGTTGTAAAAAACAATGCTTTTAAAAGGCTCTAACGATCCCAGCTGAGTCTCCTGAAAAAATGCTTTTAAAAGAAAACAAAAGCTTCTGACGATCAGGCGACTCAGCTGGGATTGTCAGAGCCTTTTAAAAGCATTTTTTTTTACAACCTCTTCGGCCAAAGAGGTTGTAGAAAAAATGCTTTTAAAAGTAAAAAAAAAAAGGTGGCCACGCCCACCCAGTCACATTACCTCCCCCCCACCAAGCCGTGCCCACAGAACCGGTAGTAACAAATTTTACATTTCACCACTACTTTAAAAGTAATAATCAGCATTTTGAATTGGGACTGAAAGCCTATCAGCACAATGACACGAAGCAATACGAAGAATAATTTTGAAGTTATTCTAAACTGGAATTATTGTCTCATCAGCAAATGAGTCAAACATTATGATAATTGTACATCTCCCCCTTACCATAAAATAGATATCCATCTCTCCTCCACATTTACAGATACAGGTAGTTCTTGGCTTACAACCACATATTTTATAACCATCCAAAGTTACAATGGAATTGAAATAAGTGACCTATAACCATCCTTGCATTATGAATTATCACAGCATTCACATGATCAAAATTTGGGTAATTGGTAGCCGGCATGTATTTATGACTGTTGCAGTGTCCTGGAATCATATCATCTCTATTTGTGACCTTCCCAGCTGGTTCTGACAAACACAATCAATGGGAGAAGTTGGATTTGCTTAACATTTAACAACTTTGGCAAAAAAAAAAAAAAAAGGGTCATAAAATCCAGCACAATCAACATAACAATTGCCTTACTTAGCAGTGAAAATTCAAGTCCCAATCTGGGACTACCTGTACTTAGAAAAATTAAGGAAACCTGCCCCCCGGAAACTATACAGAAAAATGTGATACTAAAGTAAACATAGTTGGCAAGATTCTATAAACAATTTCCTGTTTTCCTTTAAATAAATCTGGTTAATAACATTGTGTGATCTAACTTTCATGATGGCATATGGTTGTGAAGGGTTTGACACAGAGCACTCTATTCATGGTTGTATTATGTGCTTGTATAATGTCATCAACACTTTCCTGTGAATTTCTTGGAAAATAACAGTGGCATACAGGTAGTCCTCAATTTATAACCTACAATTGGGACTATTTCCATTGCTAAGTTGTTAAGTGAGCTGCACCCTCTTCTACAATCTTTTTTGGTATGGTTGTTGAGTGAATCACTGCAATTATAAGTGAACTGCACAATCTTGAAGCAAATCTAGCTTCCCCATTGACGCTGCTTGTCATAAGTTAATTGGGAAGGTCATAAAGGGCAATCACATATAACCCTGGGACACTGTAGTTGTCATAAATACATGCCAATGGCCAAATGCCCAAATTTTGATCATGTAACCATGGAGATACTGCAACAATTGTAAATGTGAGGACTGATTGCAAGTCACTTTCTTCAGCGCCATTGTAATTTTGAAAGATTGCAAATGGTTTACAAATGGTTGTAAATCAAGGACCACCTCTACTGGCTTGGTATTTTAAGGTTTGAAAGTTTGCGCACAGTTAATACAGTTATCTGATGGTAAGCCCCAATGAGACAGGCTTCTTAATAAAAATGCTCAAGAATAAATCTATAATTGAAGTAAACATAGAATGTGGGAAAGAAAAAGAAAGGAAGGAAGGAGGGAGGGAGGGAGGAGAGAAAGAAAGAAAGAAAGGAAGGAAGAAAGAAAGAAAGAGAGAGAGAGAGAGAGAGAGAAAGAAAGAAAGAAAGAAAGAAAGAAAGAAAGAAAGAAAGAAAGAAAAGAAAGAAAGAAAGAAAGAAAGAAAGAAAGAAAGAAAGAAAGAAAATATGCCAAGGGTGATATCAACGTTTAAGGAAATTTAAATAATTGTTCTAGCACCTATGTCATTTCATTCTTATGTGTCAACAATGTAGTCTGTTTTATATAGGCACGGCTACTTCTTTCTTTTTAAAAGTTCATATGGAAAAAAAGCAGACTTTGTGGTATGTGATGTTTCCCAATCTTAGACGACAGAAAGTGAATCTACAGTGGATAGTTCATTCAAGTGGCATATTTCATGCCACTCGTCTTCTTTAGAATTCAGTAGCAATTTCATTATGTTCAATATTATTAATCAATATTATTAATCAAAGTTAAATAGTTATTCCTTATATAATTACATTTAAATCAAGAAAAAAAGAAACCTTCTTTCACGTAATTACACCAGGAATTGCAACTTCTCAGAATCATGAACTCTTCCTGTGTGGCTCTCAACAGGTGGCAATTTTCCAGGAGATTTGACAGATTTATACAGCTGTTCCCACAAGGACTTTTAACATATTATTACTCATCATGATTTCATGTATTTTCATTTTAAACGGTATTCATTTCTCATTCAATACAAAAAGGAAATAACTACAAAGTATGTTGCTGGCTTTTTTTAAAAAAGGGAAACCACACTAACCAAAATCTAACAGCATTTTGTCTGCAGCTCTTGCAGTTATTCCACTAATAAGGATATTATCTTTTTGCAGAGCACTTCTTCCATAAAAATAAGGCAGTCCTAGAAAAGATTTTAACTGCTTCCATACAAGGCACATATCACGTTGAAGAAAATAATTAAATCTCACCAGTTAAAACAAAAAACAAAAAAGTATGGTCAAATAATTTTTTCTGCTTAATATGGAAGTACAGGTAGAGCATTTATTACCACAGATGTGTACTTCAATAATTTTGAAATGATTCTAAAGTAAATAAATAAATGTGTGGTTTGTTGCTTGAGCCACAAACTTCTTGGGAACTGGTTAGTTTCTAAGAACTGGGCATGGAAGAAGGAGGAAATTAGAATTTTGAAAGAGTTGCTATAGCTACTGGGGAACTTTTATGGTTTCAACTTCATACATTTCCTTTTTTTTTTTTTTTTTTTTGGCAATGTTTTTAGATTTGTCACTCACAATTTAATCACCCTCTCATGGTCAGATGTAGTATCAGCTGGGAGCCACAAACTCTACAACTCTGGGACTTTTAAACCAGTGTGGAAGTCCTGGGAACTTTATTTCGGCATAGATTTGAAAAGATATCATCACTTCTGAATCATCTGAAAAACTACAAGTCTGTACTGGTAAGAAGTTACTATACATTTATTTGTTTTGGTTTTTTTTTAATATATTCTTGTCAAAATGCTTAATCTCAAATCTTGCCATAGGATTATAACTCCAAACTGCAGACTAGAAAACGATATTTGAAACACAATAAATGAGTAGATGTATGCTGACTATATCATATCACTGGTACAGTATATTATTTTAACAAATAGTTTTTTGACTATACATCATTCAATTCCAACACCATTATAAAGGTAATTGTTAAATCTCAATGCAATTTAAAACTAGTAATGAGAATTAAACCAGTAAGTTACAAATACAAATAAAGTATGTAGTTGTTCATTATTAGCTATACATTGCATTAAATATAGCTTACCCTGAACTAATTACTCAAGTAGTTATAAAACTAGCTATCTTTGTACTTCTGATACATCTTTGTACCTCTGATACTTTAAAAAAAATCTATTAAAAGTTAGATCTGATTGCATTTGTATTAAAGATTGCTTCCATATCAAATATATCAGTATAATTAGCTATGTACTTATAGTTACTGGGATGGGATAAGAATTTGATTTCTTAAAAAAGATTTTGGTGAAAAATAAAAGTGGAAAACAAGTTTTATGTGTATCTGTGGAAAGCCAGGAAGGCAAAAAGTATCATAATTAGAAGGAGCGGCTAAGGCTCTTTTAAAAGACTTATTTATGTTATTGGACTGGACACTTGCAACACAAAGCAAATTTTGCTTGATAACCAGTGCTAATGAACAAATGGCTTATCTCTTACTATGAATATTCAGTATAAAATAGCATTATTGAGCAAAGAATATAGCCATCTTTTTCATTGAATCTTCAGGCCTGTCACCATGCTGGTTATTTTGTACAGAAATATTGCACATTACACAAATTACAATATAATTTATATTGTAAAATGTAAATAAAATAAATATTTATTACTGTGTTATTTTTATTATTAAAACAAAGTATAATTCATTGTTAGAAATCCTTGCCTTTCTGTAAACTTCATACTTGGCAGAATAATTTGGGGTTTCTGACATCAGAGCAATCTAGCGATTTCAAAGCTGTGCAGAACAGAAATGGGGGGGGGATTCTTTAGGTTTATTATGATCTGGGCATGCTTTATAGGGACAGGTTTGAACTGGATACCAGCATACATTACATTGCTGTATGGATGACACTGGAGGCAAATATAGGTCTAAAAAGAGGGAGTTACAGGCTTATGCAATATATGTGTGATGGGATATAGCAACCAGGTATTTCACTGTATATAACCAATTGTGCTTAGTGAACTCAGAGGGGCCACTAGACTACAATTATGAAATAATAGTGTAGGACTACAAAGTCAATGGGCTTCTGGAAATAAGCAGCAAAAAGAAGCAATATTTTATGAACATAGTTTCTTTCTTGGAAGTAACTTCTTTTGCTTTTCCTGCTCATTTTCCTATTTTTGTTTCATTACTTCCCTTTTCTTAACTTATGATCTTTCCTTGGCCTTTGAAATATTTGATGGCTTAACTAACAAGTTTAGTTTTCCTGGAAATACGTTTTTGTAGTGTATTTTGTGCCTCAATTTAACACCATAGATTCAAGCTATGCTTTGATTTTTCTGGGAAGATATATTTGGGTTAGGGCCTGCCATTCTACTTTGGATGTTAACAGTTGGTATAAAGACTACTCTGGTTTGCAAGCAGAGAAATGAAATGGGTCCAAATTTCTTCTTGGCCCCTACTGTGCTAAGCTGTTACAAAAATTATTGTGGGTATTGAGTTCCTCACATCAGTCTGAAAAGATCACAAGAAGTTCTATGACATTAGTGATTCCAAACTCTCACCTTTTCTCTGATCTTAATTTGATTCAAGGAAATGGATCTATATATGGACCTGTTGTCTTAAGAGGCCATAAAACCGCAGCCTGAAATTTTGGAGTTGTTTCAAAGAGAAAACAGTTGATACATTTTTCACTGGTTCCTATAAACACAATATATATGTAATCCCATGCAGAGTTTATTTCTGCAATATCTTTGGCCTTCTCGTGTCCAAAGTCAAGTTCAATTGTGTAAATATCACATTTTTCTTTTAGCTGTTCCTTCATTTTTAAATCAACTCATTAAGTTTTCAGCTGTAAATGACAATCGTAGAAATTTCCCATGTATGCAGAAATATTTTTCACAAAGGCGTTTATGGATTTGGGGAAAAAAACCCAGATCCTGTTAAATAGTTGCAATCATGTAACTTGTTAGTGTGATTTAACTAAAGAAAGGAGATTTAAAAGAAAAAGAAAAGAAGAAAAGATGAGTAATACCAATACTGTTCGCTATACTTCTCTATATCTTTCTCGCTTATAACGCAAATAGCCTTCATTTTTTTTCTGAAAAACTTAACTCCAATTATCTATAGTTTACTTGGTCTTGTTCCTTCTCTCAATTTTATATATCATCTTTGTAATTTAGTCTTTATTCGTCCACTACATACTTCTTGGCATCTTCTTCAAAACAGCGATTTTCATTTACGTCAAGAACCATTCATCCCTTGCAAGAGATTGATATTACTCACTACCCTTCCCTCAGAATTTCTCACTACCCTTCCCTCAGCATTTCAAATTTATCTGTCTATTTTTCAATTTTAGCTAACTTTTACCAAGAAACATAAATTCATCTACATTAATTTTCCAACATTTATATGTAATTTGGATTCAATCATTGCATTTCTTGCACCTTGTTCAAACACATTAATATTCAGATCCATATTTCTCAGTAAATCATTAAATGAATATGAAAAACTGACATGAGTTGCTTCTTTTCTCTTATACTTCCTGCAATCCGCAGTGTTTGTCCCATAAAATCTTAGGAAACATAAGCCCCAGTGTATCTTTATCAATAAGGTAAAGGTAAAAGTTCCCCTCGCACATATGTGCTAGTCGTTCCGGACTCTAGGGGGTGGTGCTCATGTCCGCTTCAAAGCTGAAGAGATGTCCAAAGATGTCTCCGTGGTCATGTGGCCAGCATGACTAAACACCAAAGGCACATGGAATGCTGTTACCTTCCCACCAAAGGTGGTCCCTATTTTTCTACTTGCATTTTTTACGTGCTTTCGAACTGCTAGGTTGGCAGAAGCTGGGTCAAGTAACGGGAGCTCATCCCATTATGCGGCACTAGGGAGTCGAACTGCTGAACTGCCGACCTTTCGATCAACAAGTTCAGCATTTTAGCCTCTGAGCCACCGCATCCCTTTTATCAATAGCACTTTTCAATAGCACTTTTCTAATGAGAAAGTTTGCCTATAATTTTCTCATGTTCAACTCATTAAAAGAAGGAGAAATGCTAAAATGACAAAAACTGACTTTATAGACTTACTGAAAAAGGAGACTGGAAGGAAAAGCTGCATTTATGGGAAGTGAAAGTAGGATTGAAACATTTATAATTATAGTAACTCCAGTTATTTCTGAATTGTGGTATCCTGAACAAAAATTCTAATCTAGTTATGCTTCCCCCAATTAAAATGAGATTACACAAATCAGAATATACATGAAGGTTGTGATAGATTTTTCCTGTGCATTCAGCAAGGGATAATACACATACTTACACACATGATTTTATTTTTAAAAATATAGCAGTATGATCTTATATTCTAAATACTTGGTCATAACGAAGAGGCTTCTATATGTGCAGAAATCAATTTCCATAATCAAGGAACCTGTGGCTATTTCAGAAAAAATAGTAAACTTCACTATCTGTTTACAAAAATAATAATCATATATAGGTCCATATATAGATCAAAAGGTCGGCAGTTCAACTGTTTGAATCCCTAGTGCCATGTAACGGGGTGAGCTCCTGTTACTTGTCCCAGCTTCTGCCAATCTAGCAGTCCAAAAGCACGTAAAAAATTCAAATAGAGAAATAGGGGCCACCTTTGGTGGGAAGGTAACAGCGTTCAATGTGCATTTGGCATTTAGTCATGCTGGCCACATGACCATGGAGACATCTTCGGACAGCGCTGGCTCTTCAGCTTTGAAACAGAGATGAGCACGACCCCCTAGAGTCGGGAATGACTAGCACATATGTGCAAGGGGAACCTTTACCTTTATAGGTCCATTTCATTAGAAGCATAAAGTCTGTGATGAGTTATTCTAGTTAATAGATTGTGTGCGTGTAGATCTTTTGTGTGCATCTACAGATGCATTTGTATCTCTATTACTGGGAATGACTGGGAGACAGAGTCTTAGACAACCATCAAGCAAAGATCTCTTAACCCACAGAAGGAAAAGGAATGTGGGAAGCATCTCAGAAGGGACCCTCCCTAGTTTTAGGAAAAGCAGGGGAGAGGAAAGTATTTTCAGATTTCCAAGATTTTGTTACAGTAACCCTTACAATAAAGGTAAGTTAGTACTCATCATTTGTGCTTCTTGTCTAGATTACCTCAAACAGCTGGCATAAGTCTTACAAGTCTGAAAGAGTTTATCATCTCATTTACTTTTCCCAAAACTAAAGAGTGTCCTTTTTATGGGTTTTTTTCCTTCTGTGAGCTGCGATACCTTTTACAAGTAGGTGAAGTTAAAAAAATGAGAGCACATTGTTTAAAGCTGCTCTATAAAAGGTGAGTTTCTGAAGTTTGAAGGAAGAAGGAATGAATATTTCCTACTGTTTCTGTATTTATTAAAATATTTATATGTCCCTGGGCCTGTGTAAGAATAGACAATCTTGGCAGAACTTTAAAAAACTGAGCAGAATTATTACTTGCTTATACTGGAAAACCACCAGGAAATGCAGCTTTAAACTAAATGCGCAAGTTGGGGAAAAAAAACATTTCAAAGAAGGTAATGGCAAAATATTCCTTATTCTTATTAAGAAAACTACAAGCAGGAGTTGTTATCAGAGGCTGACTTCAACTTTCAGTAGAAGCAATTAATTATTTTCTTCTATCATGTTAAAAATTACAATTCTCTGATAGTACCCAGGGGGCTGCTTAGGTAGCGCATCTCAACATTAGATGAAGCTGTTTATGTAAATATAGTAAATAAAAGCAGTAAAAAAATCACCAAGACTATTCGCTACAAATTGCTTTGATCCTGTTCTAAATTATATTTCAAAATAGTTCTACTTTATTTGAGCAGGTTGCCTTTTTACTTGCAATTGCATGTGATCTTCTGATACTTTAAAAGAGAAAAATGCATGGAAATTGTTTTATTAAATTTAATTTGATCTCTTTATTTTATTTTCAGGGACTGAAAATGAACTAAACATGGTCGATTCAAGCAATACTTCAGAAAGTAACTGTGATACCAATCAAATCATTACACAACAAATTATTCCATTGATCTACGGTTTCATCTTTATAGGTGGAATACTGTTAAATGCATCGGCAGCTTGGATCTTTCTTCACATTCCTAGCACGACAAGTTTTATTGTTTATCTCAAGAACATTGTCACAGCTGACCTTATTATGAGCTTAACTTACCCTTTTAAAATTTTTTCTGACTCCAGAATTGGACATTGGCAGCTCAACGTTGTTGTCTGCCGCTTTTCTGCTGTCATCTTTTACCTAAATATGTATATTAATATAATATTATTTGGACTCATAGGCTTTGACAGATGCTTTAAAGTAATGAAGCCCCAATTCAGCTCTTCGTCTTACAATGTCCAGTGTAGCAAAATTGTATGTCTGGTCATATGGTTGCTACAGATTGTTATCTCTTTTCCCAATATTATTTTAACAAACCAAACTCCTACAGAAAAGAAATCAAAGGACTGTGTAAGCCTCAAAAGCCCTCTTGGGGTCCAGTGGCACACAGCTTCATCCTACACATGCTTAGGAATTTTCTGGATCGTGTTTTTTCTCCTAATAGTCTTCTACAGTTCCATTGCCAAGAAAATATATATTTCACACCGAAAATTTAAGAAAAACTCCAAGCTGGCAAAGAAAAAGACCAACCGAAACATTTTCACCATCATGTTTGTGTTTATCATTTGTTTTGTTCCGTACCACCTGGTCAGAGCCCCATATACATCAAAACAAATTGACCCTAATTACAATTGTGAGATTAAAAATATACTGTTTTACCTAAAAGAACTTACATTGATACTGTCTGCTGCAAATGTTTGTCTTGATCCAGTTATTTACGTATTTCTTTGTCAACCGTTTAAGGAAAAATTGTACCAAAAATTGCATCTGAAAATTAAAACATCTGAAGAGTTCGAAAATTCTAAATCAAGAAAGTCAAATGCTATTATTGAAACAGTTACTATTTTATAAATTCCAATAGCAAGCATCTTCAACATTATGGACATGTGGGCATGTTGTTGAATTAAGGAAACAGTTTGTGACTGATAAAATAAAGAATATTTGCCCTACTCAATCATTGCTGTAATACCTATCCAGAAACCCCTCTCCTTACACAAGGAATTGAATTTCACTCAATTACTCAAGTAGTACTCGATTTACAACCGTAGTTGGGACCAAAATTTCCATTACTAAGCAAGGTAATTGTTAAATGGGTTGGGGCCAATTTGAATACCCTCTTTGCCATTGTTTTTAAGTGAACCACTGCAATTGTTGAGTGAATCTGGCTTCTTCATTAACTTTGCTTGTCAAAGGCCAGCTGGGAAGGTCACAAATGTTGATCCCATGACCCTGGTTGCTATACAAACCATTGTATATACATGCCAGATGCAAGTACCTGAATTTTGATGACCTTAGGACTGCTGCACCGATTGTAAATGTGAGGACCAGTTATAAGTCACTTTTCTTCCAGGGCTTCTATAACACTGAATGATCACTGAATGAATGGTTGTAAGTCAAGGACTACCTGGTTTTTGTTTGGTTTCTGTTTTTTCTTAATATACCTACCAGTCATTATGAAGATGTCAAAACTATGTAGATGTGGATAATATATGATGTAAAGTGTAGCAAAATAAACACATTTCACCAAATACCATTTTAAAAACCCAACAACCTGGTTTTAGAAATGTTATTGAAAATGCTAAAGAAATTAGCTGTGTTTTTCTGAGTTTCTCCAAGATTTCCAGTCTAATCATCATTTTGTTTTTATAAAGGAACCCTCTCCCATATTAGCATACCCACAAATTCATCTCAGACATCAGACATCCTACTAGGTAGCCCACACAAGAGTACGTGGATAGGTGTGTGAAAACTTCAAATAATTTCACATGTACAATAAGGACAGAGTCCTAGAGATTTTCTTCCTTTTAGAGATATCGCTGGATACCGATATTTATTTCAGTCTCATTTGAAGAGAGAACTGTATGGAATGGAATGAGAAATGAGCATTGCCTTTTGTGGGATAGGATTTTCCTTAGAAAATCAGGATATAGTTCAATTTTTGATTCCACACAGCAAAAGTGTATCAGCTCGCCTGCCAGTTCAACAGAATGAAAACTGAATGAATGACCGACCCACAGGCCATTTTGGACAGCAGATAAAACATTCAGCATAAAGTTGAATTACCAAATAGAGGAAAGACACTCTGTTGATCGGAAAGCCAGAGGGTGAAAAAAGGACAGGGTCTTTCCAGAAAAAAACGCTCGTACTGGCGCGCACACAGATTTCTCTAAATACAGTGCTGTTTATTCTTATCATGCTTTTCAAGTTAAAGAATTATGCTGGCCTTAGCTTAGCAAAGTATGTGTTTATATACATGCATACATTTGTATGCAGAACTTTTTTACAGTTTCTTAACCATTTCTTTTTCTCCCTTCTCCTTCACACAGATATTTGTATCTATGCTTTGATATTTTCATTCTGTTAGACAGTTAAACTCCATACTTTCCAAGCTTACTTTTAACCAAGAAAGGTGATGGCGAAGGGGTAAATAATTATTTTGAGCCTTTTGGAATTCCAGTCCTGGAGTTTTTCACTGACTCCTGATTTGACCTTTCCAAATGCTGTAGTCTTAGTTCTTTTTCACCAGGTAATTCTCTTGTTGATCTCGCTTTCAAGTCATGCTTGCTCCTGTTAAATCCCTAGTTATAGATTCTCATTTCTTCAAAATTCCCCTAACTTTTCTTTCATTAATATAACATCTACATAGCACCAACTACTTTGTCCACAACCCATTTTTTGAGATATTTGCTCCAAAAGACAGGCATTCCTGCTCACAAGAATTAGACAAGGAGCTTCTTAGTCTCTATGTCAAGGATTACCAACCTTGGCAACTTTAAGACGTGTGGACTTCAACTCCCAGAATTCTTCAGACAGCTTCGTCCACACGTCTTAAAGTTGCCAAGGTTGGAGACCCCTGCTCTATGTGATTCTTTGCATGGGGCTGGCCCATAGACAAAAATCTTAACTTTGAGACTGCTTAATGTGCACCAGGGCAACTTACTAAGTTATATCATATGCGAGATACTGTTTCTGGTTTTCAACAATATGATCTTGGAAATTGTATTTCTTAGCATTCATTTGCAGGGGCATCTGCTGGAGAGGAATCAAAAAAGTCAAGAAGTTGAGTTTTGACCAATAATCAAAACCCTTGTGATCAAACCCTGATTTTTTTTGATATATATGTCAACATTGCTTGCATGTACAAAAGACCCAGGCTTCAATCGTATGAAATGCACATGCCATCTTAACTTTTATTTACCCCATTGGCAAATGCCCCTGAATTATAGTTCAGAAGTTGAATCAGATAGACAGATTAAGATTGGACAAGTTGAGGTTTAGCACTAGCTGACAGTTTATTAGAGATCTGTGATCTCTAATCAAGTTTTCCTTCAGATGTATTTCTTTCAGTTGCATATCTCTAATGACATCAGCTTAAAATTGTTCCTTAGCTTCGGAGAAGCTCAAAGCTCTTCTAATCTGCATTATTAATATGCCTATAGACCATGGAAGTTGACTTCAAATTCAAACCTCAAGTTCCCAAAGACCAGCAATAAATATGACAATTCTGGGAGAAACATTAACTAATGAGTAAAAATAATCAGAGAGCGCTGTAATGTCTTTGCATACTATGTTTTGAATCATTCCTCTTTTCTCCTGCACTAGGGTAACTTTCTCTGATGTCACTTACACACACTGTTATAAAGCCATGCTTTACTTGTTCACAGTTTCCACAATGTCTAAATTAGGTTATAACACTCATCAAAACAGCATGCAGAAGGAACTTGGGATGTTAAGTCTGTGAGAAAAATACGGAACTAGCAGTGTTGAGGCATATAAAAGGATACCACAGGAAAGAAACTATGTTTCTATTGTCACAAACACTAGAATAAGAAATGATAGTATTAATTGCAGCAATAAGAACCTTGCAGAAGTTGCCAGAGACATTTCTTCAATAGCATGTAAATCTGTTTAATATATGTAATGGAATAGTATAGGAAGATTTCACAAAAAGTCTTGTTCAGCTGGTCCAAAATACAATAGTGTCGATATCAGGGTTCCAAGTAAAACCCCCAACGAAATCAAATTCTGAGGCTTGAGTTTCATCACAGCTAATTTTTATTAGAGATGTCATATTGGCACATCTGGGTAAACCCAAATCTAAAAGCTTCCGGATTTTCTCCACCCAAAAGAAAATTCAAGTCCTTGCCCAGCACTCACATGTCCATCACACGATCCAGAGACACCAGACACCATCCAAAACTGAAGATGCCTCCCAGTTACTTTATCGCAGCTGCCGGGCACAGTGGCCTTGACTTTCTGGAAAGAAGGTTATTTTGACTATTACATATCACCTACTCTATACAATCCTCCCGCCCATTTTCCCACAATAGAAATTGTGGCAGGCCTGAAGGCTCAAAGTTAAAAGATAGCTTCCAGGTCTGACACTCGATGCTTCCTGGGCAGCCATTTTATTACTACATTGTACCACTGCTATAGGAACAATACTGGTTACAAAATGTTGCAGAGTACAATTCAAGGTACTAATCTACCTTTAAAGTCCATTATGGCTTGTAAAGGCTATCTAACCCACCCACCCACCCATGCCTTTTCCAGATAGTTTATGTTTGACTGGTCCAGAGAAGCAAATAAAGCCTGATGAAGACTGGCATTTAACAGGAGGCAGCCCAGCACTAGGCATCTTCTGTGGGAGCTCTTCTCCTTTGGAATAACTTCTGTCTTGAGGCAAGCATGGGTCCCACGGTTATGGCCCTTCTGGAAGCTGGTAAAGATACAGCTGTAGCAGAGGGCTTTCAAAGATCAGTTGCAGAGTCAATGTACAGTATATAAATTAGTCAACATATGAATGTTTTATTGGAATTTGCAATCAATTACTGTTATTATTGTACTTCATTATTATTATTCATTTATTATTGTTGTGTTTAGTATTTTTTTTATTAAAAAAATAAAGGAAGGGTCCTTCCAACGTAACTGCATTGGGAAATAAATACTGTATTGTTTTCAAGTTCTTTACAATTGATTGATTATGTACCATTTGATCATTTTTAACTCCTAGTGTCCAATAGATGATCTATTCCCAATCTATTTCATGTCTCCCAAATGTACATTTATACCTCTGTAACTGAGTCCACCCACCTTGCTGTTGGTCATCCTTTTCTTCTCTTTCCTTCTAATTATATTTCCTATGCATGTTGCTTTCTTCGTAACAATACAGGAGTGGTTTATCATTGCCTTATCCCAGGATACGAAATAATGTCTTTGCCATTATCACTAAAATGATTATTTGCCTCCAGCATCTTCCTGCCCTCTGGAACGATTTGCCCCCGGAGATACGAAGGATATCGGATCTCCGGGTCTTTCGCCGTGCCCTGAAAACTTTTCTTTTCCATCAAGCAGGGCTGGCGTGAACCCCCTCCCCATTTTTTAGTCTTTTTTGTTTTTTAGTTTTAAATTGTCATGGGGTTTTAAATTGAATTGTTTTAAATTGGGCCAGTTATATAATTCTTTTAACAATTTTAAATTTTGTATCTGCATGTGTTTTAGCTCTGGCTGTTCACCGCCCTGAGTCCACTAGGAAAAGGGCGGTATACAAATTTAAATAAATAAATAAATAAATAAATAAATAAATAAATAAATAATTATTGCACCTTATAGGTGCCTGCTTGCTTTAACTGGGCAGCTGAGAAGATCTTCACATGGCATTCCCAACATTAGTATACCCTTCTGACAGTCTTCACTTCTCCCTCCCTGGAACACACCACCACCACAATAAGGTAGCAGAATAGAACTGGTGACACCTGTCATCCAGCTAGACAAATCCCTCAAGTTTTCTTGACTGTATTTCAGAAGTGATTTGCCCTTGCTTCCTTCTTCGGGTTGAGAGAGTGTGACTGGCCCAAGCTGTTTCACATCTAAGGGAGAACTAGAATTGATTACAACAACTGTTTCTAGCCTGGTACTTTACCCATTTCCCCAAACTGGCTTCCTTCTTTGCAATAGATCTCTTTAATATCTGTTTTAGATTTCAATGCAAAGCAGACCAAAGTTCTTCAGATCTTTATTTCTTGCTTTTTAAAAAAACAAAGAAACCTGGGCCTACATCTGACCTCCAATTATCTGGCACTTCACCTGGATATGTCTGAGCCAAACTAAGAGATGATTAGCCCTGCTTCTCCTCTCTTACCTGTTCTCTGCAATAAAATCTTAGGGCAAAGGAGGGCACCAATACATTTTAGGACTTTCACTGAGAAACTGGGTCTCTCCCTCTCTCTTTCTCTCTCTTCCTTTTCTTTTCTTTTCTTTTTTTTTTTGCACATATCTGAAGAATAACTTTGTGTTGTTCTTAGTGCCTTTCATCAACCTCACCTCATCTTAATCTTTAGCATTCTTGGTGCCATCTCTATATTTTGGGCTCTATTTCTCCTTGTGATTTATAATTTATTCATCTCCTAAAATAAGCCTGTTATGGGTTCAGTTTTCTCTTTCTCCCAACTCCTATTGAAACAGTTTACAAATCAGTTTTTGCTATCTCCTTTTTAAAAAAAAAAAAATACTCCCACCTTCCATTGCATTTTCCCTGTTACTGTTCCCATCATGAAATGCTATTACAGTTGCTCTGAGTTCATAAAACCTACCTTTTAAAAAGTTCTAGATAAGTGTTTTTCTACACTCAGCATTAATTTCTCTTAAAAACAAAAAGTCCACCACTGCATAATACCTTCCAATCCATGCTCCTATTACCCCAATTTCTTCAGCAAGGTCTTCTCTTTGAGTTAAATCAGTTGAAGGACAGGTGAATCTTTACACAATAGAGATACAACAATATAAATTCTACAAGAAAACTAGCTTTCTTTCCCCATAAAAATTCATTATTGTGTATTCCTTTACTTTACTTACTCTCACTTTCTCACACACATACACAAAACCCTTCTTACAAAAACAGAAACTGGATTTTCTGGTGCTCCGACAAATTTATTTTGCTATCTTGCATGAGATATTGTTCTATAACCTTCTTTAAGCAGCTTTGAACTAGCTATCTTGCACACTTAGAGATTTTCAGCTAAGTTCTGACTTCATATGCATATGCTGGAACACTTGAAAGACACAGGAAATTCTACTTTACCAGCCACAAACCAAAGAAAGAACTCAGTGGGCAACATTAAACAGAACTGCTTCTGTATACAGCAGGTATGTACCTCTTAAATTATAATTCATTATCATTCTCAAACTATTTAATTTCATATGTAGTATTGTATTTCTTTCTAAATCTCCAGGGTAATGTTGAACTTCATCACTTACCAAGGGTTTACCCTGAGATAATTAAGCATGTGAGAAATGAAAAGGCAAGACAAACCAACTACTTCGGTGCTTTCAAATATCTAATGTAATCCTCTGACAGATACAGGAATCCATTACTGCCTCAGAGAATTGTTTGTTACATTATTTAGATCTCTAGATTTAGCAGAATGAGTGACTTTTTAAAGTGATGAGTAGAGATGTAAGTAAAACATGCCAAATATAGAACACAGCATATTTCCTCATTGCATAGATTTAATTCAAATGCATATATATATACACACGACATTTAAAAGTCTGTTAGTTAAAATGCTTAAAATCCTGGCTAATATCTCAGCTCAAAATCCCCCAAAATCCCAACAAAACACTTTGTAAGGTCTTTTAAAACTCTGGCTAAAATCCTAACCAAAATCCTAACCAAAGGTTTGGTTTATATATTTATATATATATAAATTATATATATATATAAATTGTATACAGACAGTCACTAGTAATAAATGAATAACAGCAGATTTGCCAGCTCCATTGCCACTACCATGCAATGAGCTAGTAAAAATAGCTGATCACTCCAGCTCAGCTAAGCTCCCAGTAGGACTCAAAAATGCTGGAAATTCAACAAGAGGTTCCCACAAGTAGGTATAAGCCAGTCCTGCTGTGTGTGTGTGTGTGTGTGTGTGTGTGTGTGTGTGTGTGTACGTGCATGCATGTGTGCATGTGTATGTAACTGTGCACAGGTAATCGCAATTGAGTGCACAGGTAATAACAATTGAAGTGAAATCCTCCGTGGATTGCCATTGGTTTGCTGCCCACGCATGCACACTGCTCGCCAAAAGCACATTGCGTGCATGTGCAGTACACACCAAACACATGCTGAATGCATGCACATGTGCAGTGCATGCCAAACATGCGCTTCACGCAAAAAAGAAGGCTTAACAACGTAAGTAGAATAGCGAGGGCGAGGGAACAGCTGTGCCGCACAATTTAGATTCGCTAGAAATCAGCTGATTATCGGAAATACCGGTTCGGACAAACCTTTTTTTACTATCGGTTCACCCGAACTAGTAGCTTTTATCATTACCGGTTCGCCTGAACAGGTGCAAACCGGTAGCATTTCACCCCTGAATTGAGCCCAAACTTATGTTGCTAAGTGAGATGGTTAAGTGAGTTTTACCCCATTTTATGACCTTTCTTTCCATAGTTGTTAAGTGAATCACTTCAGTTGTTAAACTAGTAGCACAGTTGTTTGTTAAGTGAATCTGGCTTCCCCGTTGACTTTGCTTGTCAGAAAGTTGTAAAAGATTATCACATAACACCTCCCCCCCGGGGCACCTCAATCATCATAAATATGAACTAGTTGCCAAGTATCAGAATTTTGGTCATGTGACAATGGGATGCCGTAATAGTTGTTAAGTGTGAAAAATGTTCCTAAGTCACTTTTTTCAGTGCTTTTGTAACTTTGAATGGTCACTAAATAAATAGTTGTAAGTTGAATGACTATCTGCAGTCAGATTCATATGTTAATTTTAGTCAAAGAGTTTTAAATGCATCCATGCCACATATCTGGATGGAAAACTAACATACATATCCAATTACCTCTTGTTTTTGTACAACTCTCTTTGCAAGGGGATCAACTGGATTCCAACATTTTATCCTTTGTGTCAGCAAATATTCCAAATTCCCTGAGTTAAGAATTGATCTTGTTGATAATAGTTTTTTTAAGTAATTGCAACGTTAGTTTATTTCAATGTTTTTATAGTTTACCCAGATGTTTAGACAGCATGTGCTAATTTACCATCACACAAAACACAAAGCATAGACTAGAAACAAACAAAAAAACTAGTAGCAAAAATATTTAACTATTAAAAAAAATTATAAATGGTTATTAAAAGGGGAAAATTGGATTAATACAAAGGAAGGATCCAAACTATTGCAAATTCTGTAACTGAACATCTCAACGATGACTAAGTCAATAAAATTTTGAATGAGGGAATCATCATTTCCCGACTTGACTACTGCAATGCTCTCTACATGGGGCTCCCCTTGAAGTGCACCCGGAAGCTCCAACTGGTCCAGAATGCGGCCGCGCGACTAATTATGGGAGCAACATGGCGCTCACATGTAACATCTCTTCTATGCGAGCTGCACTGGCTTCCGGTGGCCTTCCGAGTACGCTTCAAGGTGTTGGTTCTTACCTTTAAAGTGCTCCATGGCTTAGGACCTGAGTACTTACGAGACCACCTGCTGCAACCAATAACCTCCCACCAACCAATACGCTCTCACAGAGTAGGCCTACTCATAGTACCATCATTAAAACAATGTCATCTAGTAGTTCCAAGGGAGAGAGCCTTCTCTGTGGGGACACCTACTCTTTGGAACAAAATACCCCCTGGAATACGAATAATCCCAGATCTTCGCACTTTCCGACGTGCCCTGAAGACCTTTCTGTTTCAACCAGCAGGGCTAACATAAACATCTAAATTCTATGCCAAGGTCTTAGCAGATACACGAAGTTGACTCAATTTATTATTTACTGTTTATAAAATATATATATATATATATATGTATATGAAATCTTAATCTGTTCACTGCCCTGAGTCCTTCGGGAGAAGGGCGGTATAGAAATTCAATAAATAAATAAATAAAAATAAATTGTAGATCAAATCTGGAAGCTGCCACATCTGATACTTTTCTAAAGAACTTAAAACTTTTCTAAAGAATTTAAACAGTCAAAAAATTCTCATGCCTTCTATGGCTTAGGAATTCAGGAGTTCAGTATTTAGTAAAAATCTGGAATTACTAACTGTAACGTATTTGTAATTATTCACCAGTTAAAACAAATTAAGTCACCAAAAGGGTTGTATTTACAGCAGTGGGAGAAAAAAGCCAGACTACAATGTGACTCTTTCTGACTGTAAAATTGCTAACTTCAAAAGGAATGTAAAAGGTTCATGGCAAGGTTTATACTACTAAGACCTCTTCAAACCATTGAAATGCCTACCTAGATTGGTACCATGTGTTATTGTTATTACAAGTTTATTCTAATGTTAACGGTAAAAGAACAGGATGCAAAACCGCCTTTGAAAAAAAACAGCACACTGAGCTTCTCTTTATTTATGGCAACCTGAGGCAGGTCTAAACCTTTTCCATAATTGTCTCTCTCTCTGCTCTATGAAGTATAGGTTGATCAGGAGAGCCCCATAGAGTTGAGTATTTTTACTTTTTTCTTGCTTTGGTTGCCTTTTTTAATTATTTTCTCTTTTCTGGGCACAACCAGAGGTGGGATTCAGCAGGTTCTGACCAGTTCTGGAGAACCGGTAGCGGAAATTTTGAGTAGTTCAGAGAACCGGTAGTAAAAATTCTGACTGGCCCTTCCCCCATCTATTCTCTGCCTCCCAAGTCCCAGCTGATCAGGAGGAAATGGGGATTTTTCAGTAACCTTCCCTTGGAGTGGGGTGGGAATGGAGATTTTACAGTATCCTTCCCCTGAAGTGGGGGAGAATAGAGATTTTACAGTATCCTTCCCCTGCCATGCCCACCAAGCCACACCCACAGAACCGGTAGTAAAAAAATTTTGAAACCCACCACTGGGCACAACATTTCTCGGTTAATTTCTTACAAAGAAATAAAAGAATGTACGAACAAATAGCCAGATAGCTGAAGTAATGCAAAAAAGATGGTCCTCTTATTCTGATTGTGAAGGTAGTGGACAATCATAATGTGATACCAATAAATGAGGATATGTATAGCTCAGGGTTGAAATAAGGGCTCCTTGGTGCTCTCTGAGCTTGCGTGTTTTCTTGCAGATGTTTTATTAACCAATCTAAGTAATAAATTTTTATGATTTCTCTTTATCTATTAATCACACTACATTTTTTTTAAGAATGAGAAGGCAAATAGTAATATTTCATATATTTATTGGAGACTCAGGATTCATTGTTTTTCATTTGGGTGAAGTTACTTTGCTTCTGTTTCCTAGCACATTTATGTTGAAGAGGAAATGACTGCTTTTATAATTTCCATTCAGTATTCATGCTTTAACAATTTACTACAATTGTTACTACTTATACTGGTACAAAAATACTACTTTTTTGCAGACTAACACCTTGAACGTGCCCACATTCTATCCAACACTACTATTTATATCTTAATTAAGCTATTTTTAAGATTATAGGCAAACAAGAGAATTTTTTCAGTCACAATGCCTGCCCTTTTTCTATCCTGACCTTATTCAAAAGCTTTTTAAAATTCTTTTCTGCATTAGTTGTAGCTCTAATTAGTTGTATACAACTAATGTATAAGTTGTGGAGCTCTTATGCAAATAAGTATGTTAGGTTGTGTGTTTCATTACTCTACCCAAACAATTATTTTTCTTCTCTCTCTCTCTTTCTTTCATTCGTTCTTTCTTTCTCATTCTCTCTCTCTTTCATTCACAGATTTGAGGTGATTCATACAACTACTTTGAAATATTTCAGATGGCTTCAACCAATTCTTCAGAATGTAATACTTATTCTCAGATTCAGCCATTCACTTATTTTTATTACTTGATTTTTCTTATTGGATTTATTGGCAGCTGTTTTGCCTTCTGGACCTTCCTGAAGACCAAGAAGCATTGCAAATGCATGAATATTTACTTAATTAACCTACTGACAGCAGATTTTTTGCTGACCCTTGCCCTCCCAGTGAAAATAATTGTAGATTTAGGAGTTGCCCCATGGAAACTGAAAATATTCCACTGTCAAGTCACAGCATGCCTGATCTACATTAATATGTACCTGTCAATCATATTCTTGGGATTTTTAAGCATGGACCGGTGCCTCCAATTAACAAAGGGATACAAGATCTATAGGATTCAGGAACCTGGTTTTGCCAAGATGATATCAGCAGTGGTATGGGTAATGGTTCTCTTCATCATGGTACCGAATATGGTTATTCCAATTACAGAGGTCGAAGAATCACCAAATGTAGGATGCATTGATTTCAAAACTAAAGTGGGAAGAGACTGGCACGTGTTTACCAATTTCATATGTACTGCAATATTTCTGTATTTTTCAGCTATGGTGCTCATCTCTAATTTTCTTGTGATCAGATTACTTTTTCAAAACAAAGGTACAGAAGGCTATCCCAGTGTAAAAAAAGCTCTGGTAAACATCCTTTTAGTTACCGCAAGCTACATCATATGTTTTCTTCCTTACCATATTGTTCGAATCCCATATACGCTGAGCCAAAGCAAAACTATAATCACAGACTGTTTTCTCAGGGAATCTCTCTACAAAGCAAAAGAATCCACTTTGCTCTTTGGTGTATCAAATCTGTGCTTTGATCCCATTTTGTATTTTTATTTTTCAAAAACATTTAGACTAACAGTGACTAAAAGTTTTGCATCCTTTCAAGGTAGACACGTTTCTCTAGATGATCAAGAAATGCATGAAACAAGAACGCCAGAGTTTCAGGTTTCAGCTGAAACTGCCATCCTTTCTACAACAGGACATTAAAAATGCATTTGTCTTCCCACTTCATTGGTATATTTTGGACTTCTATGGTTTGAATAAGGTTGAGGATTGTTGGGGGCGAGAGGTGGTAAGACTGAACAGAAAGAAAACATGGACATTCCAACTCGGTGGCTCAGTGGACTGGCGGAGGAAGTGGCGGTTGGGAGGGAGAAAGCGGGAAAGGTTTTGTGGGCACACACACTCCCCCACCACTTCCACGGCCGGGTTCTCAATAAACTACGGTCTGGCACCAGGCTGCAGAGCAGGGGTTGGGGATCCCTGCTCCTGATTGCAATAAACCTCCCAGATTATATCATAATTAAATAGTAAAAATAGTAAAAATTAAATAGTAAAAATATAGGATCAGCATCATCATACAAAGCTATAATTAAAATAGTAGAAAACATATGAAAGACATGAAACATGAGCACTGGCTAAAAAGCTCATTTAATAGGCCTGGGTAAGATTTAGGTGTCACTTGTTTACTGAAAAAGGTCTCCAAAATTAGTCCAACACTATTTTCTATTTTATTCCTATCCTTATTGCACATCTGCTATTGCTAAAGCAGAACAAATGTGTCTCAGATCATTATTCCCAATTTGATGTCCTTCAAAGCTATGGAAATATTAAGTACCTTTCAATAGAAAGTACAGTTTTCAAAGAATTTCATTAGAAGAAACTTCCAGATTTTTTTCCTTTTGGGTAACTTCATGCAATCCTTTCTTTTAAGAGGGACTGTACTATTTTCTATTACTATTATTATTCTCTGAAGGACACCTTCTCAAAAAAGCTGAAAATCTTAGTCCTATACAAAGGAATGTCTAACTGACCCCAGGAACACGGAGATAGAACATTGGTCCAAGAAAGAGGATTTGAAGGAGATGTGAAAGAGACTAAAACTAATTCTGCCTTAATTACACAAGGTATCAGTTGATCCAAAGAAATACTTTGGTAGGCTTTAAACATTATTTCATCCTATTTGCAATAAGGAGCATTTCCAAAATATAAGTTAATCTGACTTTGTATCCTTTAAGAGTTTGAAATTTAAAACAGGTATTCTAAGCATGGCAGTAACTTAATAAATTTAAATTGCTGACAATTTTCAGACATACAATCAGGAGGACACCCAGTTTTCAAAAATCGAGGGGGCACAGATTGCCAACTCTGGCTCTAACCCTAATATCTCAAACCTGTGAGATAGTGCACCTTTCAAAAGGCCAGCATTTTTTATTCTTTATAAAATTTATGGTGCTTTCACTACACAAAATGCTTTTATCTGTCTGGCCAAGTTCCTGAAGTTTTCTTGGCAAAATATTCAGAAGTGGTTTGCCACTGCTTTCTTTTTAGGATTGAGAGAGAGTGACTGGCCCAATGCATAAAATGGGATTAGAACTCACAGTCTCTCAATTAACTACTACACCAAACTGACTCTCTGAAGGTAAAGTTTATATATCAAAAAATTCATTCATAGGAGTCAAATCTTTTAAATTATATCATAATGTTGATTCTATCCATCCCAAGTTATCTTTATATAATTTATTAGGTCCCATTACATATAACAGAAGTTTAGTTATGATTAAACTATTACTCTTTTCAGTGAAGCTTAAATAATGGAAAAGCCAGTTAAAGAGCGAGTTTCAATCCAGCTAAATTGTGATGTAGACTACAAATGACAGTAAATTGGGAACCCGAAAAACTTACACAGACACGTTTCCTAATTAATATATATGAAGTGGATCTCATTGTTCAGAATTTTGCATCAACTCTTAAAGATGGGAAGGGTTACTTACCAAAGGTATAGGAAAATGTGTAGCGTACTGCAAATGTCGAAGGAGGTGGTAATTTGATGGAAAAATCAGCTCCCTTCCTTTTTCTTTCTTTGTAGACTTTTCATTATTTACTGAAGCTCTTCTGTTTTGTACTGGTATTGAATTCAGATTTTCACAAGACTCCCCAGGCATTGGAGAAAAGATCTAGGCCATTTAAAATATTTAATATTATAAACGTAAATGTCCTCCAGATTTATAGTATGATTATTTTTTTTTTAAAAAGAAAGAAACAAGAAATAAATCAATGGTATCTATGATTTATTTTGAATGTAATGGAATTAACTTGAAATATGTAATAGTGAAAATATGTGTAATCCATAGATGTTAATGAGGAGGTTGGAATAGCATTCAGTACTAACAATATAATAGTTGCTATTCTAACAAACCCTCTATATTCCATGAAAGTAGCAACAGACAATTTTAATGAACAACTTCCTCTTCCACCTCCTAGCCTTTATGTTGCAGTAATAAGAAAACAGAGCCAATGCAAAGCTTTTGAGTAAAAAGACATAAAGATTAAGTAACCGTTTCTAATGCCAAAGAAACCTGCCTGTGTACAGGTAGTTCCCGACTTACAACTGTTTGTTAAGTGACCGTTCAAAGTGACAACAGCCCTGAAAAAGTGACTTATGACCATTTTTCATATTTATGTCTGTTGCAGTATCACCATGGTAACATGATCAAAATTTGGATGCTTGGCAACTGTCCTGTATTTATGATGGTTGCAATGTCCCTGGATCACATTCTACCACACCTGGGAGATGCAGGGCCTTTTACCATCCACCATGCCCTGGAAGCCCAGGACTTTCCTCATCATGTCCAGGTCCACTTAGGTTTGCTTTTTTCTGCAGTGGCAGGCATGCCTAGTGAATCTGAGATGTGACTTTCCTACCAAAGCTGCCTCACACCATCCCATAAGGCAGGCCCCATTCTCATGAACATTGGACATTCATGAGACATTCGTGTTCTCATGAACATTCTTCTCCAAGTCATGTGACAAGGGTCCTTCCAAACTATAAAAAATGATTGTATTTGCTAACCCATGCACAGAAGAAAATACCTTCTCCAGAGTGGAGAGACAGTGCTTGAATCATGGGGTGCAAGGCCAGTTTTTGCAACCCAATGGAGGGGTTGAGCTCCAGTCAGCAGGCAATTCTTTCAGCCAGCCCTGAAATGAGGGGAGTCCTCTCAGCAGGTGGGCAGCAGCCTGAAACCTTTCCTGCTTGCTTTCCCACTGACTTTCTAAGGAAGCCAACAGAGAAGATTGCAAATGGCAATCACATGATTGGGAGGGGGTACTTGGCAACTAGTTGTTAAGTGAATATCCATTGCCATGCAACTGAAAAGTGGTCATGTGATCATGGGGGGGAGGAAAACTTTATATTCTTGGCAGTTCTTGGGGCTTGAAGAATGGCCCACATAACATCACTGTTCTACAAGCTGCCTTGGTTGCCAGTCTGCTTCCGGGTGCAATTCAAGGTGTTGATAATCAATCACCTGTAAAGCCCTTCATGGCATGAGTCCAGGCTACTTGAGGGATTGTCTCATCCCACTGAGATTGGCCCATCCCTTCTGTGCCAGTAGAAGAGACATTCTGTGGGCCCTGTCAACCTGTTTGTTCTGGCCAGAGGTTCCAGAAGGGCCTTCTTTGCCATTGCACCTGGGACATCTTGTGAGGTTGGCCCCAACCCTCCTGATCTTTTGTCAGGGCCTAAAGACCTGGCTTTGGCACTTAGATTGGGACCCAATGGAGGAGCATCACAGTGGAGGTGATTGATCAGTTAACAACAGATCCTCCTTCCCTCGCCATCTCTAATTGGATCATTGTGTTTATAGGTATTTATTTATTTATTTATTTATTATTTTATTTTATTCAATTTGTATACCGCCCTTCTCCTAGTGGACTCAGGGCGGTGCACAGCCAGAACTAAAAAACATACCAATACAAAATTTGTTTATTTTAATATATGTACATATTTTTATCTTGTATAATTGTAAACTGTCCAGAGTTTACAAACAAACAAAGAAACACACACACACAATAATTTTACCATATCCAAAAGTGTTCTACGGGCTATATAGCACACTTCCCAAGGCCACCATAACTTTGAATGGCTCATTAAAGGACCAATTCTAAGTCGAGAACTACCAGATGTTTGGTTCAATATGCATGCAGATATTTGTAAGTTTTGATATATCTAAACATCCAGTTCCTTCACTGCAATTTGCAACAATCATATTTGCAATCATTTTACTGCAGGATTTCTATTGACTCACACCACTGATCTAATTAACTTAGTACTGCCAGTTAGCAGTAACTCTCCAGGATTTTAGCAAATGGACAATCTGACATTTCGGTTTGGTTTGGTTTGTTTACTTCAAATAAGCAACAGTCTCAATTAGCTTGCCCAACAGAGATAGTTTCTTTAAAAATGCTTTTTCAACTCTTCCCTATGCTACTGATATAAAGATTGGAAATAGCCCATCACGCAATAAGGTGAAGAGCCTATAAACCCAGGCTAACATTGAATTAAATGCTTACAGTTAATTCTATATAAATAGGGGGGACGGGGGACAATTGACCTGTTTCAGAAACATCTAAAACTAATAGTTCCTATTTTATCAAGGAAACAATTACAGTACACTTTTGTACAATACTGTACATCAAGGAAATGTAAAACATATTTATTTATTTTTCTTATTTTATAATATGGGAAACATTCATCTTTGTTGTCAGGCCACTGATGACTGATTATCAGAAGTGCTTATTTCTACACATCACACTATGCTCAAACATCCTCTTTGGGATCTTGGCACTCTACATGCTGAAATTTGCTTCAAATGACGTGGCTATCCATGTTACAGTAACAAATAAGGGCAAACGTGGCTAGAAGGTCTATGAAAGGATTTGTATTTCGAGATTTTCGAAGGAAAAAGCAAAAATAATATGAAGTTATGCTTGAACTTGTACATGATGCATTCACCACAATGGCATTTTGAACATTAGTGAAACTAGATGAAGAAGCTTGAAAACCTAATGTGATACTGTTTTGCAGAATAAAAGTAGATTTCTGCTAGACAAGTTGAGGTATGTGAAAATGTGAAAAGAAACGTACAGCAGATAAGCAGAGTATATTCCATGATGTCATGTAGCAAAGGGAAGAATGAATAAATACATAGTTTGTGGGTTTAAAATAAGGAGTTAAACCTACTGGAAATTCCGAACCAAAGTCTGTCTTAAAGTCATTCTTGTCTACATCATCAAAAATATTAGTGGTTCCTGAGTCAATATACATGTGTTCCATAAGACTATGTTCCTAATTGTCACCAAAGAGACAAAAACAAAAATGTGAGTCAGAATGTAGTGAAAATCCTTTGGACCGTTAACAAATTATATGAATTCAAGCATAATATAGATTACTGATTATATGCAGGAAGAGTGAATACTTTATAATAGTCAATGGACATTACAATCAAGATAGATTATCTTTGGTATTGTGTTTAAAACAATAAAGTTAACAAGCTTGAGTCGACTGTACTCAGGAGATCAGTCTGTAAGTTTGTTTACAATTGAATGAATGATCTCCCAGGAAATGTGCTTCAATGAAGAGGAAGAAGAAAAAGTGTAGCAAACCAGTTTTGACTGCTCTAGAGGATTACAATTTCTCTAAGGCACCGTAAATTACAATGTATTTAAAAGCTGGAAGGAAATACTCTTGTAGTTCCAAATAATAAGCAGTCTTAAATATATGCTTGTAAATTTCCTCTTGCACAACTGGCCTTGTTATCCTTCTCCCAACCATATCCCATCTCTCAACCTTTTCTCAAGGTTGTTTCTGGAGGGTTCCCCATTTCCCTAGTGCTGATGATTTAACTAGTTGGGTATTGAAACATCTGCAAGAAAAGCACCAAATTCAGAAAGCATCAAGGGCCCCACAGACATTGCTGGATTTTTCCAAATGCTTGCAAATGCTAACTATATCTTCTCTCCTGTGTTGGTGTCCCCACACAGGAGTAACAGATTTGCACTAACTATTGTGACCTTTTAAAGATGTGTTTCTTAGGACATCTCAAGTAGCTGTTGCCTGGCATGTATTGGCACAATGATTCCATAACATTTATTATTGCTTCTTTAATTTTTTTAACATTATATTTGTATTGTGGCTTTTAAACTTTGTTGTGTTTGTTTTTATTATTGTAAATCACAGGAGTTGTATATTTTTGGGAAGTATTTGAATGAAAGAAATTTATCTACATTTTTTTTCAAAAGTAACTATTTCTATTGTTGTTGTTTTTATAAATACCATAAATACCATTTGATCTAAGGGAGCCAGATAATTACATGACAGTCAAGTAGCATATTATTTCATTTCATCCAGTAGTAGCCATGAGAGCCAAAGATTATGGCAAATCACAAATTATATTTTAAACTTATTGTTTCAGATTTCTTCTGACATTATATCAATTCAGAAGTCAAATAATCCAATCTTACACACATACACTATTTATTAAATTTAAATGCCACTCATCTCCAGGTTTAAGGCAACAATGGATTCCTTACCTCAAGTTTCACATCATGTTCCTTAGAATAGTGCTCATCCATGTTTTCCCCAGTTGGTGAACGTGCTCTAGAAGCTGCAGTGACAGATAAGTCTCCACGTGATATTAAAGTGCACATGTAAGCATCATGCGAGAAAACATCATGCCGTATAAATTCACCAAAAAGCAGCACTAGGTTCACAAATTCCGTTTTTTCATATCCACTGTTTGGATCAGCTGACAATAGATAAAAGAGTTGAATTTTGTTAAACTCCCAATAAATCCAAATAAGTACAAAAAGTAATACAGTTGCTGGAAAAAATGTTATATGTACTTAATCCTAATTTAGAACAGATATAATTAGATACTTACGTAAAGAGGGAGCTTGAGTATCTAAAAATCTAAGGAGAACATTCTGAAAAACAGGGAGGCTAGATCCAGCAAATGATGCTGAAGAAATTGATTCCTTTTCATCCATGATTTCAACTTCACCACATCTCTATAAAAGTATATAAAATAAAATAATAAACGTGTGGTATCATAGCTGTAAAAATTACTTTCATCCCCCTCTTTTCCCAGAAATTACAAAGAACAGCTAAATTAAGAAGAAATGACTTATCAATTCATTTGTAATAGGAACAATGTGATAATCTATGAAGAAATCTAATTTAAGAGTTACTTGAATCTTGGCTTAGTAAAACACAAATACAAATTAAGAAACTGCATTCCAGTGTCACTGTGTGGTTGTTGTTTTTGCTTTGTGTTTGCTATCGCTCACCCACTAGAACTATAGAAGATAACTTTGGTTGATTATTATTATCTGTTAACAACAATGTGAAATCACAGCAACCAGTTCCTTAGCTGAGAGTGGTCTTCATACACATCAGTTCATCCCAAAAAACTAGAACATTGTTATTTATCTGTGGATCCAAATGTGGCCTTTTCCAACCCACATAAGCAAATTTTGATGATGCACAGATTTTCTATATCTGATGTGCTATTCTGTATTTAGCAATCCCACAATATTTTAATGTTTATTTTCAGCTATTTTTTCAATTCTATGTTCCCACTCATTTTTCATTATGGGTACATAATAGGTTTTGCAGATAGTTCAGTGAATCATTATTGTGACTATGTTATGTTGTTGTTTATAATCAATTTGTGTGATCGTTTTCCATGTGATGAATCTATTATTTTCTCTGTTTCTTTGCAAAATCTGCACTTTGAATCACTTGATGATTTTTCAGTTCTATCCTTGATTGCATTGCTTCAAATAGCTTGGTCTGGCAGAGTCAAAATTAAGCCTTCAGTTTCTTTCTTTTTTTTTTTTTTTTAATGTTCGAGGCTGTGCCAGATTTATCTGAAACCACTTCCCTTTTGATCTTTGGCAGAAATTAAACCTTTCCATTGACAGCATTCTGTACTTGTTTTTATTACAATATTTTGAAATTCACTTTTTTGTTTCCTGTACATTTAGTAAGTTCCCATTTTTAACTTGCATTAATTGTTGTTTTTGGCTGTCTTTTACATAACTAGCCAATGTTCATGGAAATTCTCAGTCATCCAGGTCGTGGTTGTCCCAAAGGTGCCTTTTCAAAGGCAACTGGACTTTGTTGTTCCTTGAAAATGTTTCACTTTATCTAAACAGGACGTATGTGGTGTCGTATCCTTCCCCCTCTGTTGAGAGAGGGATGTTCAATCTTAATGTAGATGGCCTCTTTGACCCACTCTTTCAAACCAAAAGAAGTTTGAACCAAAAGAGGTTTGAAAGACGGGTCAAAGAGGCCATCTACATTAAGATTGAACAGCCCACTCTCAACAGAAGGGGACGGATACAACACCACCTGTTTGCAACACCATCCTTTCAGCAGTTCCAAGAAGGTTCCACACTCATTCCACTCATTTGTACGATTTTGGTGACAGATAAAGCCTCAATGACTCCAAAATTGGTGCTAATGACCAGATGACTGTGAAGAATATAAATCCTTCCATCCATTCAGTCAGAACTGAAGAAGCATATTGGATGAGAAGCAAAACATCTTCTAGGGAAAAACAAAGCCCAGTTTCCTTTGAATAAGCACATTTGATCAGCCAGTTCATGCTTTTCTTTTTGACAGTTTGTTTGACCAGAAGTAAACCTCTGCTTCCATTTCTGGAGGGCAGGTATAATCTATTAATATCACTACAGAATGTAATATATAGCAGGGTTGAAATGCTCCCGGTTCGGACCGGATCGCCCAATCCGGAAGCGATGTCAGTGGGTGGTTCGGAGAACCGGTAGCAAAAATCCCTGTGCCCCACAACCACCATGCCCAGCTGAGCCACACTATCATCAGAGGCTTTTTTTTCTTTTAAAAGCATTTTTTCTACAACCTCTTCCGACGAAAAAATGCTTTTAAAAGTAAAAAAAAAGCTTCTGATAATCGCGCGGCTCAGTTGGGATTGTCAGAGGCTTTTCAAAGCATTTTTTTTCTGCAACCTCTTGGCCGAAGAGGTGGTAAAAAAATGCTTTGAAAAGTTTCTGACGATCCCAGCTGAGTTGCCTGATCGGCAGAGGCTTTTCAAAGCATTAGAAAAAATGCTTTGAAAAGTTAAAAAAAAAAGTTGGCCACACCCACCCAGTCACATTACCCCGCCCCCCAAGCCATGTCCACAGAACCGGTAGTAACAAATTTTACATCTCACCCCTGATATATAGTGAATAGGCAACAGATTTCTAGTTTTTCAGTCTATACCATCCAGTTAATAATTTCAGCAATGTATCATGTCACAGATCTGGCCCAGCCAGATATCAATAGCATTGATAGTGTTATTATGGTTTGTTGCACAGTCAGTCAGATGTTTAGATTGGATATGGCATTTTTATCCACTGATTGAGTCTTTGCCAAGGACCTAGCATACACAGAATTTGTTTGATGGCATCACAGGATGTAAGTTATTACAAATAAAAGTATTTCTATTTGCATGTCTTTTATTTATGTTATTTTGTTCCAGTTATTTCTCTTCTCTTCTGCTGTGTCCAGGTACTGCCATGTTCATTATCCAGACATTTTTGACTTTTGTATCAACAATTGTTAAGCCTGGAATGTTATGTGGCAAATGCTTGTCTGTTTCAATTCTAAAATTACAGATTACTTTAGCTTCTTCAGTTTATGTTGCTTTGTTCTTTTCCATTCTTCACTTGGTCTTTCTTGTAGGTCAGTCTGGTTTCTCCAGGACTCAGTAAGCCTTCACGGTATACTAGTTTATTGCATCTTCTACAGTGTTCCTCCAAATATTCTTCCATGCCCCCTTTGTCTTTTTAAATTGTGTTGTGTACTTGCAACATTCCATGCCCGCCTACTTTCCTTGATAAATAGAGTCTGTCAACATTACTGTGGAGATGAAAGGCATGATTCATTGACATCATTTTTCTGATCTTCCTATTCAGGGCTTTTATTTCTATTTGAGCCCAGTTCACTATTCCAACTATGTGTCTGATGATTGGAATAGCCCAGTTGTTAATGGCATTAACTGTATTTATTCCACTGAGTTTGGACTTTTAGATCTTCATAAATGACTTAGATGGGGGAATAGAAGGGGAACTTACCGAATTTGCAGATGATACTAAGCTGGCAGGAATAGCCAACACCCTAGATGATAGGCTCAAGATCCAGATGGATCTTGAGACTTGAATACTGGACCCTATCTAACAAAATGAAATTCAGTGTAGAGGAAAGTGAAGTCTTACACTTAGGCAAGAAAAACCAAAAGTACACATATAGACTGGCTGAAACCAGGCTTAATAGAGTAACTCTGACAGGGATCTTGGAGTCTTAGTGGACAACCAATTAAATATGAGCCAACAGTGTGTGGCGGCAGCCAAAAAAGCCAATGCAATCCTAAATTGCATTAACAGAGGAATATAATCAAGATCAAGGGAGGTACTAATACCACTCTATAAAGCCTTAGTAACACCACACCTAGAGTACTGAATCCAGTTTTGGACACCACACTATAAAAACATGTTGAGACTCTAGAAAGAGTACAGAGAAGAGGAACCAAGATGATTAGGGGACTGGAGGCTAAAACATATGATGAACGGTTGCAGGAACTGGGCATGGCTAGTCTAGTGAAAAGAAGGACCAGGGGAGATAAAATAGCACTGTTCCAATATTTGAGGAGCTGCCACAGAAAGGAGGGGTCAAGCTATTTTCCAAAGCACCTGAAGGCCAGACAAGGAATAATGGATAAAAACTGAACAAGGAGAGATTCAAACTGGAAATAAGGAGAAATTTTCTGACTGTGAGAACTATCAACCAATGGAACAGCTTGCCCTCAGAAGTTTTGGGAGCTTCATTACTGGAGGCTTTTAAGAAGAGATTGGACTGCCATTTGTCAGAGATGATGTAGGATTTTCTGCTTGGGTGGTGGGTTAGACTAAATTACCTACAAGGTCCTTCCAACTCTGTTAATCTGTATCTAATCTGTTTCTTCTTCATACTTATGATATATTCACTTTTAGCCTTTTTCTTGAGTTCAGTGTGCATTATTATTATAAACTTTTATTCATTAAATATAAACTCAGTCAACTGAACATTTAAAAATGTATCACAAATATCACTAACTGGCTCTGATGGTTGATAGGGGTTGCTGCCAGCATTCTTGGTATCAACCAAGTATCTTCTTAAAATGTATGTGTTCCGAGTAGCACAGCCTTTTACAGTTCCGCTGGTGTTATTGCAGGAAACTGCAATTTCTTGATGTACTTTGTAAAATTCTTGGAAATGGTGCCAAATGCCCCGATGACAATGGGTATCGCTGTCACATGTTTCATCCATAATAGCATAGTTTCGATGGCCAGGTAGTGATATTTCATGATTTTTTCCAGTTCTTTTTCTTCAACTCTGGTGTCGCCTGGTACCACGATATCAATAAATTGTACATTTCGGGTTTTCTACAACTGTGATATCTGGCATGTTGTGTTCCAAATGATGATCCGTCTGTATTCGAAAGTCCCACAAGACCTTCTTATTTTCAACATCTTTTTCTACTTTACGTTACCATGATTTTCAGATACAGAAAACAGATACAGATACATTATGTATTTTTTACATAATGACAGTGGATTAATTTAGCAACTCAGTCATGTCTAGCTTTGTAATCAGTTTGCTAAATTTTGCTACACTCACGTATTAAATATGAAAGAGTTTCAACTTTGTCGTTGCAAAGTCAGCAGTTTGGATTGTCAGTGGGTTTTTGTATTTTCGCTTTCAGGGCATTAGTTTGTAGTGCTTGTTCTTAAGCAGCAAGTATTAAACTTTCCGTTTCTTTCTTGATGGTTCCCATCTTAAGTCATGTCCATATTAAGTTGTTATCACATTTTCCTTCAATCTTTTTCAAGTGCTGTCCATACAAAGCTTTGGCTTCCCATTTATTTAATCTGTCATCTAGCTGTTTTTCCTTATATTCTGACTTTGTTTCTGTTGTTTTAATAATGTTCTCCATTTTCACAGCCTGCAACAATTTTTTAGTATGTTGTTGTTGTTGTTGTTATTTTAATATTCAATTCAATTCACAATCTGACACTGGTAAAAACTTAATAGTTCAAGTCCTAATCAAGGACCTATAAACTATTAAGACCTAAAACCATCTGAGCTTATAGGCAGTTCCAAGTAGATGGTTTTTTGCAAAGTCGCAATATTGAGGTCTAATAAGTTCAAAATTTCCATGTGGCTGGCAGCCATTTGGGTATTGCTCCAAAGATATAACCATTGATTTATTCCTCCATAGTAGCTCAACTTCAATTATAATTTTATAAATCTTATAAATTTGTTGATTTTATTTTCTAGTGTGAACATTTTAAAATAACTATTGATAGCTATTGCTGCTTATTCTTTCATTTGTTATAAACCTCAAGGGATCAGTTGATTGCAGTAGATATACATTCAACAAATAAATAAATGAATACACTCTTCAACACTGGAACATCTTTTATAACCTTTCTGTAAATAGACACTAATGCGACTAATAAGATTCTAGGTTGCATACAAATATTATCTACAGAGAACAAAATAATTAATGCAAGCCTCCATGAGTTACATGAATAAATAGGAACTATTGCATCTATCCATTATATTTAAATATATTTTTGTACATGATGTAGTAAAAGATAATATTTAACCATAGCTTGAAAAATCATTTCAGCAGTTTTAAAGTTGCAGTTTAATATTTTCTTTAAGTTATACAATTTTGATTATGTTCCCTCTATAAATTCAGAGTGAACTATAGGAAATCCCATATATAAATGTTTTTTCATTGTTTTGTTCCAAAAATGTGAGAAGCATGCTAAAGCTCCTTTAGAATTATCCTAAAGTTTCTCTGTAGACAGATTTGCATTGCAGATCAGCAACATGATCTTGAGCTCTAAAAGTCAAACCAAATTTTCCTCTAGAAATGAAGACTAGCAGATAACTTACTTCTGCCTCAATTTCAGTTTGCCTCTTCTCCAATAGTTTAGCTACAGCCATTGCCCGGTGCTTACCAGATCTTTTACTACTCACAGCCCATTCGCAAAGCAATGTTACAACAGCTTCATCATTAGGTGCAACCTATTAAATCACAAAAGCAAATCTGTTATTCATTTGAGTGTTAGAACATTTTAAAGAATATAATATTAGAATATTTTATTATTTATTTATTTATTTATTTATTTTGATTTGTAAACTGCCCTTCTCCAACAGGACTCAGGGCGGTGAACAGCCGAGATAAAACAGAGCATACAAAATTTAAAAAACAGTTTAAAAGGTAATTAAATAATTTCAGTCACAATTTAAAACAACCCAATTAAAACCAATTTCAAATTAAAACCGAAATGGATGGGATCAAGCCAGCCCAGCTAGGTGAAATAAATGAATTTTCAAGGCCCGACGAAAAGTCCGGAGGTCTGGTATTAGAGTTTTACACTTTTATCAAGATTCATAAATCATGTTTTATTTTGGTTACTTTGAGATTCGTTGACCTTCTTATCCTTCACTATTCACAGCCTTGAAGATAGCTTGCCCAGAGAAGTGAGATAAAATGTACATTTCAAGAACAGCTTCTCAATTAAATGCATTCTCAAAAGACTTAAGATTCCTTGGAAAGGAAGGAAGGAAGGAAGGAAGAAAGGAAGGAAGGAAGGAAGGAAGGAAGGAAGGAAGGAAGGAAGGAAGGGGGAAGGGAGGGACAGAGGGAGGGAAGAGGGAATTAGGTGACTGGGTAAAGGGGTGGTGATATTGTAAAGGAGTCTTAATCAGAAATGAGAGGACCCACCCTCAGTCTATATCTGTGATGGAGAACCAATGGCATGCATGCCGAAAATGGCACGCAGAGCCATCTCTCCAGGCATGCCAGCCGTCGCCCGTTCATCTTCCGGGTTCAGGTGTGCACATGCGCACCTGCCAGCTGGTCTTCACGTGCAAGGGAGCACCAGAAACCAGAAGAACAGCTCCCTGGTGCACATGCACCCGCTGGGAAGCTGAGCTTCCAGTTTCCACCACGCACGCACACCTGCCAGCTGGTCTTCATGCACACATGTGCACCAGAAACTGGAAGACCAGGTGACCGGTGCACATGTGTATGCTGGAAACTGGAATCTCAGGTGCCCTGTGCATGCATTCCAGTTTCCGGCACTCCCAAGGAGCTGCTTTTATGGTTTCTGGTGCTCCCCTCCCCACGTGAAGACCAGCTGGCCGGTGCGCATGTGCACACCGGACCCCGGAAGAGGTACGGGCGACGGCTGGCATGCCTGGAGAGATGACTCTGTGTGCCATTAGTGGCATGCATGCCATTGGTTCTCCATCACAGATATAGACTGAGGGTGGGACCTCTCATTTCCGATCAAGACTCCTTTACAATATCACCACCCACAATTATATGTCCTTCCAGTGTCTAGTGCTGTTTTGAAAAAGAATTTTCAACAAGCCCTGATTACTTTTATTATTTATTAGTCCAATTTATATGCCACCCTTCTCCGTAGACTCAGGGCGGCTTACAATGCATTATAGCAATAGCCTGCATACTTTTTTGTATATACCTGCTTATTAGGGCTTTCGCTCCCCCCTCCCCCAAGCAGTGTTGTTTTATACAAAGTTGGCTTATTGCCCCCACAATCCGAGTCCAGGAATAGCAGATGTAGGAGTGAAACTTTCTACTAGGAAAAGCAGATTAAGGACTCTAGGCAGAGCATATAACTAAATAACTAAATAAATAACTTTATTGTCATTGTACGTGTATACTCAGTATACCCATACAACAAAATTCACTTAACACCCAAAGACCAGGTCCAACACACATAACAATCCCCAAACACATTCCCACCCACCACAATTCTCCACCCCTAAACTAAATTTACAACTAAACGTGTCTTGGTTTATGAAGAACAAAACTAATGTTCTGCATGGTCAGAGCTATTTTAAGCACTACCAGCATTGTGACTACAAATAGTATGAAGATTCAGGCAGTTTCCTTCCGTAGGCCACATCAGATGAGTTGAATTACAAAATGAGCCAGATGCTGTAAAAAGTCTGGATATCTGTAGCATCATGCTTATGTATTTTACTGCCTTAGACCAAAAATATTGACTGTAAAACTTTAGAATCTCTATAAACCACAAAAGATGGATGTTGTTCCATCTTTTATTTATCTACCATGCTCCAGATTCTGCTTAATCTATACAATCCTTTCCTGCAACTTAAGTTCATATGAAGGATTCTAACAGTGATAATTACAAAATTAAGTACCAGAGCTTCATCTATTATTAGTATAAGGATAGATGTGAAATAATTTAAAAAAAAACAATTGGTTGATTGATTGTATGCCAACAGATTGTGGTCAGCTCTTAGCAACTACATAGATTTTCACCATGACAATCTATCCCTAACCTGGTCTTTCAATGCAGAAGCAGCATAGGCTATCCCATAGTCCTTGTTCCTAAGTGAAGTTCCAGACTAACAGCACTGACCAAAGAGGTAAGAAAGATGCTGCTAGGAAAAATTCATTGTAAGAAACAATAAACTCTTTATTAGGAAAGTATGACTGGATTCGGTTCTGTAAAAATTCCTTCCTTGTTTAACAGAGATCTAGAAAACTGGGTGGAGGGTGGACAGTAGCATAAACAAAGCAAAAATAAGAAAAACCAGCTTGTTCTGCCTCACGAAAGCTAAACATTCAGAATAACAACAGTGACTTTCTACAACCCATGTGTAAATGTTTACAAGAACTAAATTAAATTTTCTATTTAAAAAGGAATGTGTGATAATTTTTGAACACTTAGCAGTAGCTTAATACAAATAGTCAGAAATGTGTAGAATATCATTTTTAAAAATGTATTGATGACTGAAATCATATCACACATTATTTTAACCCAACTTTCAAGAACTTTAAGGGAAGACTGGTATGGTTACCATTTGACCCAATTCTTCCGGGCATGGAAGATTTTCAATACCTTTTATGGCTATGTTTGTGAAATTGAAAAAAGACAAGCCCGTTTGGCTCAATGATGCTTAAAGCAGAAAAGATGCCTATTCAACTTCATAGAAAAAAGTGAAATTAGCTTAAGGCTAGCTATCAGAACATAAGCATTTAATATTTGAAAGTCTGCTTGCTAAAGGTAGATTCCTTTCCTGTGGGATGGTAAATACATCCTACATTTAAAAAATCCTGGCTCTTAATATATAGTAAACTCTACAAATAAACTAAATGTGTATTGCTGATTCTTAGTAAATTGTGTGTTACCAAATTTTTAATGTTATGTAAGTTGACAAAAAAAGGAGAAGAACCCAAAAGTCAACTCAAGCATCAAAGAATAAAATTCAGAAACTGCAGTTTCATATGTTACAATAATCCTCAGCATTATTCTTTTTTGCTTCTCAACTCTGCAATCTCTCCTTTGCTGCTCAATCTCTACAACAGGAAATCAACTGAAAATTCTAGTATTTTTAATGTTTTTATTAAGTCAAAATTTCTCATACAACTTTCAGCAAAATCAACTAATAGGATTCTCCTTTCTATTTCTGAATTTTCCTAAAACTTCATTTTGTTCTGCATATTTGTAATGCTGTCTTCTGATTTGCAGACACTTTCCAATTTACCATTTAGAGTATGCTAAATAGCTTTCTGCTGTAAAATAACCTCAATGCTTTTATGAAGCAAAGCATATCTTTTTCCTATGTCAACCAAATATTATCAGCAAACCACCTCCTATGACAGGAAGAGGTTAAGAGTGTGTAATTGAGGCCTTTTCTGAAGTATCACCCATCACAGATCCACTAAAGCAAAAAACACTTTGCAGCTGAAAAATATATTAATACATCAATAAACAGACAACTTTATCAACTTTAAACCAGAAATACTGGCTTCCTGCAGATCAGCCATAACTTATAGTAGCACATGCTGCAGCCATATTTGACCAAACTCAGACTAAAAAGATATGAAAAAAGAAGTTTCGTATAAGTTTCACAAGTTTCAAAATAAGACAGAAACTGCAGCGATATTTGACAAACTCTGACCAAAAAGATATCAAAACACAAGTTCTTATAATAAATAGGCCAGGAAAGGTTTAGAAAAAATAAGAAGGGCTAGACTGGCTAATTTATCAGATAGCCAAGAAAGTCAGCACAAACTTGTCATGAACAAGTTTTGCCGAATCTACTTTGTCTCATGTTTGGATCAAACAATTTTTTTACCAGACTGTAGGCAAGTTTTATACATAGTATAGCTTGATTTCAACAAAACATGTGATCCAGTATGAGTGGCCTGCATGTGATAAAATTAAATGGATGATTAACTGGCTTAAAAAGAATACTCATTAATACTCCAATGCGATTAGATAGAGATCAAGATTCCAAGACATATATTCTATTGTTTGAAAGTTCAGGACATAGAAGAATGGGTCTAAATTGCAAAAAAAAAAACCCAAAGATACCTACAATTATATGTCATAAAACAACTTTCTAATATTAAGAACAATTCAACAATGGAATCAGTAATCCAAAATGGTGGATTTGATGTACTTAAGTATGGATGCTAGACAGCAATCTGTCCAAAATGCTTTAATTTGGAACCTTGCACTGAACAGGAGTCTAAATCACAATCTCTAAACCTGGCAACATGCTGACTGAGGAAAATGCATGTCTTAAAGTTGCCAGGTATGGAGACCCCTGGTGTTAAATGGTCCTTTAGAAAGCAAGATTTTCACAGCTATATAGTACCTATAGAGTAGCTGAAATAATTATTCATATTATTTATTAAATTTATATCATATTATGCTATTGTTAATGCAATTTGCAGCAATCTTTAGGTTTGATTTAGTCTCACATAAACTTAATACCAGGGGTAAAATCTACTTACCTTCCTTACCGGTTCGGAAGTGCACACACACACACACCCGCACGCACGTCACATGCACATGCAGACCCTCTGTGCATGTGCAAAACCTGGTTTTAACCAGGAAGTAATGTCTTTTTTACCCTCTGCGCATGAGCAGGTTTTAACCAGAAAGTAACAACACCTGGGCAGATGGGTGGACCCTTGCGCCGCCATCACTACCGGTTCTCTAAATCACCTGCCACAATCGCTATTGGATCGCCCAATGCGGTCCGAACAGGGAGCATTTCACCCCTGCTTAATACTAGAATTAGTATTCTAGTATTTGGCAGTTCAAATCTCACCAGGCTCAAGGTCAACTTAGTCTTCCATCCTTCCGAGGAGGGTAAAATGAAGACCCAAATTGTTGGGGATAATATGCTGACTCTGTAAACTGCTTAGGGAGGGCTGTAAAGCACTGTGAAGTGGCATATAAGTCTAAGTGTTATTGCTATTGCTATTAAAACTGCCACTCTAATCAACATTTTCTATGATTAAACTTTCAGTTTTTACCCTAATTTTTCTACAGATGTGGGAGGGATACTTTTAACAAGAAAACTATCAAGGAAACTATAAGGGATAGAACCTGCAAATGAATTTCAATGGGCAAACAATGACACGTATAATTTGGCCTGCTGAATATTTCCCTATCTGCACATCTATTTATTTGATCTATATTAATGGATTGTATTTTTTTTCATTTAATTTATTTTGTAGTTCTTAAGAATATGACTATACAGTAGTGGAAAGAGAATAAGTAGACCATGATTATTCCTTATTCAGTTAGCTATTTTCTTATTAGGAAAACGGTTAATGAAGATCCTCTACCTTCTAGCACAGATCTTGTGGAATAAGGATTAAGGGCAGGCATCATGCCCAACTGTTTTCCTGGTAGCATATGCTTTCTTATTCATTTCCAAAAGAATGAGAGTTCAGTTTTTCACTCCAAATGGACAAAAATAATGGGTGGATTTATTTTCAAGAAAATGTTTCATTTTGACTCAATGTCTGTTAGCTTTTCTAAAAATTTCAGCTACTGACAACAAGATTTATAGCGTGAATCTTTCTTCCAACTCAGCTTGTTTAGAAGGGTAGATTAATCTTCTGGTTGAGGCTGAGGTATGCTTAATATATGGGGCTCCTTGCATGAACTAATATTATACATCATGAATAATGAAAGTTAGAGAGAAAGTGCAGCAAGCCAGTTGGAAAATAAGCAAAGTAAGCAAGTAGCCAAATGTTTCAGTTCCTTTCTCAACAACAAAAGGTAGCTCTAAGAACTGATTTTCCAAAAGAAGTAGTTTTGAGGTAAGGGGAAGATAACCAATACCAGGAGACGGTATTGTCTGTGAAAGCAGACTTTTAGTACGAGGCTGGGTATCTTCTCCACAAAATGAGATGAAAAGTAACATCAAAGGATAGGAGCAGAGTTCAAGAGAACGCAAAAACATGGCTTTGAGAAGCTAAATGAAACTGTGATGTTGACTGAACTGAACCTTTTGCTACCCAAGAATAATTTAGTGCTAAATAAGATGTTTTTATTTAAGGACTTTACTGGAAAACTTTAAAGGCTTGTTCTGAGTAAATACTCAGCAAGCAGAGAAGGGATAAAGGTTGCTGTGAGTAAATTCCCTCTGTCCTTTCTTTTTTTTCCCAAAGGTTTTATTTCTTAAAACTTCCAAAAGCTATTCTCCCACAACATGAAATAAAAAGGGCACAACTTAATATTTATTCTCCAAATCATAAATATTACCTCAAAATACTTAGCTTTTCCTGATGTGTTCTTAAAGAATTCTGGATAATTTTTTAAATGTTATATAATTAATAAAGTTAAAATACACTTTTAACAAGTTAAAATAATCCAATGATCGTTTTGTTCGCAAGTTCGGAGTGAAATCATATTTCTAAGGTAACTTTTTATTTATCTATTTATTTTTCTATGGCCGCCCATATCAACCAAATGACACTTTTTAATTACATCAGCTAACACTAACTTTTATTTTTAATAAATTTAGTCACTCGGGTGTTTTTGTAGACTTTTATGGCAATTTGTCAATGTTTCAGTCTAAATAATTTAACGGCTTTTTAAATTGTATATATGAAATAATTTCACTCTTGTATATGCAACATGGGCTCAAAATTTATATGCTGAAACTGAATAAAAATTATAATCAATAACTTGCTAGGAAGAAAAAAAAGCACAAAAACTATTTTGAAAAATACTCACGACTTTTGAACATGGTGTCCAGCTTTAAAAGAAGATACACTGTTTTTGCTCTATTTTGATAAAGAAATAAACTAGTGGTTCCATCTAGTGGTTCAGATGCAATTTTTCAAATTTTAGATTTATACAAAAGAATAAGTTAATTTTACTTATTCAACAAACCATGATCAACTGAATCATGACTTATTATGGTCATTGTGGTCAAAATATAATATCAGTAAATTATTTGTCATAATGTTAGAAATGCTACATCTGTTAGATGAGATTAAGGCTCTCACAGATATCATGGAAAGCAGATTTTCCAGCTAACTATAGTGTCACTCCCATATAGTTTTTTGACCATGTATTCAAGAAAAGTTTCTCACAACTTTCTAAAAATATTATTCCTCTGTAGCTGAGAATTGGCAAATTGTCCAGTTGCAACCAGAAGTCAACATCAGCACATACACAGTTATAGCATTTGTTCTGTCAATTGGCTTAAAGACTTTAAGATAATACATTGATTCATGATGTTTTTGTCATTTCCATGGAAATGCTGGATTTGGTAAACAACTGGGGCTATCATAAAAACACTCATAAAATTACCGTAAATGAAGTGACTCACTTAAAAACCATCCTGACACAACCGAAAATCCAGTCCCAACTGTGATCATAAATTGAGGACTACCTGTATGAACTCATGCAGCGTTCAACTTACCTTCAATTTTGCCAAGACTGAAGGAAACATACACGATAAAAACAACTATGATTTCTAAGCATTGTGGACTAACTATTTATTGGTTAGATGTTCTACAGTGCTCTTTTCCCCTTTCCTTTGATAAAATTAGTTACTGCAATTCTTGAATAAGTTGAAATGAACCTCTGTAGTAAATATTATACTGAGGGATTTTGGTATATCTACTTACACATCTTTTTTTGTTGTTTCTTCTGTTATCAAGTTAATTGCATAATACAAATTAAGAATTTTGAACTATAAGCATGCATCAATATTAATAGCACAATTATTAGAATTTTGAATTTGTGTTGAACATTTTTCAAATGCAAATAACATTCATAAATAAATGTGAAGAGTTGAGCTTATCTTCTGAAGACTATTAGTTTTGTTATACAGTCAAGCTTTCAGCCTCAGGATCTCTTGGAAGTGTCCCAGCCAATATTAATTAATTTAGTTATTTATTCATACATCCATACCATTGAAATAGCTGCCCATTTCATGAGGTAACTTTAAATGGAGTAGAAAACATAAAATTAAAAAAAATTAACACAAAATGCACAAATAGAGACACCATATAATAAACTATATCCTTGGGTTAAAAAATATAATTCTAATACAATTATTGAAGCAGTGACTAAACAACTAGCCAGATGGGCTCATCTGTTCCAAATGCCTGTGCATTTAAAGCCTTGCAAAAAGCAAACCGGGTCGGGGCCAACAGATCTCTGGGGAAACAGGATACACACAATAATAATGAGTTCTGATTTTACTTAGTTTTTTTCCAAACTGTTATGCTGTTATCTTTAGGAAAAAATTAACACTTTCCTTATGTTATTTTTTAAGATAAATCCTATATTTGAATGTGTATTTCTACTGTGACCAAGTCTTCCCTTGGTTTCTCAGAAGTACATCCTACAACTACCAGACTGTAAGCCTTGTTGAACTCAATGGGACTTACTTGGGATAAAAAGAAAAGATGCTGCTGTTAGCCTTGTTTTTATCAAAGCTTATCAGAAATGTCCTTCCATCAAAATATGCTACATAAATACAGTCAAATCCAAATACTAAAAGGAAAGTATTCAATTCAATATTCACTAATTTTAGTGTTAACCTGAATGTGAAAATAAATATATATTCCTCTGCAGTGTTATAGAAATGGTTTGAATGGTTGTTTACATAAATATTTGGTTTTAGCAATTAATCAGCATCATAAAATTTATTTTGAATGCCAGAGGAATGGGAAAGGGCAGCTAGCATCAAATCGTTTCTGGAAAAATGTAAATACTTTTATTGTGTTGTTATATGCACAGCTGTTCATTTGACATTTCTGTACACAATTGTCAGATCAAAAATGTAGTTTCTTGGCAAGTTGGAATCACAAAACATAACATAAATGAAGTGGCACAATGCTGAAAAAATTGTCTCAGGCTTTAATTGATATCTTGAAGTCTACATCATGTCCATAGAGACACAATCTGAAAATCAGATTTGAAGCAAATATATTGAAGAACAATACAATGATTAAACACCAAGGAAAATGAATATGAATAATGCAAATACCTCCTGGTTATCCTTATTATGGGTTCCCCAGAAAATCTTGTTATAAAGGCTTTCCATTGAGTTGCTAGAATCTGAACGATCAAAACAGTGTCTATCCAAAATCTCCAAAGTGTGCAAAACACGGCTGATAGTAACCCCTGGATAAAGAAAAAAACAGAAATGATGGTACATTCAAGTTGTGACATCAAAATTATTACAATCGTTGGAAGAAAACTGATATTGATTGGGAGCTGCCCTGTGTATTGTTTTATGGAATTCCACTCCACACACTTTTAATTGTCTTCCTTATCACCTACCTTTCTCCCACAAGTCCTATTTCTGTCCTCCTAATTAACTGCTACAATGATAACAAGGGTTTTGAAATGTGTTGATAGCTATAAAGATGTTATTGTTTCTTAGGATTTACTTAAGTAAATCTTTAAGGTAAGCTTCTTTAACCAGTGTCCACCAGATCTCTTGAGCTACAGATCTTATAACTCCCAATCCGCATGGCCAAATAATGAGATTTGGAATCTGAGATCCCTGAAGGGTACCATATTAGGGACAATTGCTATAGCATAGAAACCTTAAAGATGCTAAGAACATTAACTGAGTAGATTCTTGCACAAACATTAAGAAAACTTTAATGGCATTAATGACATAAATATTTGAGTGTGAGTGTCTATTCAGTTTAAGTGATAAAAACTTAGTTGATTGCGGAAAATACATTTTTTTTTAATGTGCTTAAATGGAAAAGTTTTGTAGACTTAAAACATGAAAGATTGTTTGCTATTTTCAAATTATATATGTAAAAGGCTCGACTGTGAAATGTGGAACAAAAATCTCTTGGGAAAACACATAAAACTAGCGGAACAATAGAACAAAATGAATCCTTCAAATAGTTGGCCTGCTTACCAGAGGAAACCATAACTTTTCAAAGGAAGAAAAAGAACGATAAACTGATACGTTCCCAGACTTCTCTCCTCTTTTTTCCTTAGGGACAGGCTGTGATTCTTGGGATCTCAGGGGTACAAAAGTACATGCAGCTTCTTACTTATATCAAAACAATCCTTCCAAAAATAGCCTGGTCATAGTGTTCCAAAAAGAATTCCAAAATATGACAAAATAGTCAATAAGCATAATTTTTGAAATATAGAGGCAAGACCAGATGTTCACAATCTTTTTTCCTTTTCTTTCTTTCATTGATTTTTCAACACACACATAAGCAAAAATTACCACTTTTAAGTATCACTTTTAAAGCAAACCCCACCCCAAAAAAAGAAAAAAAAAAGAAAGATGGCCTTGAGTGAAGCTCTACTCCTAGGGAATGTGTGTGTGTGTGTGTGTGTGTGTGTGTGTGTGTGTACGTACATATGTACACGGATGCAGTTTTGGCAATAGTGCAGAAGTATTTCCATCGCCTTGTTCTGAGATGTTCTGGAAGTTTTCTTTCAACTTCCAAGCGTATCCCATAGCTCTGGAGTTTTCCTGTGTTCTCAACAGTTTCTAACCAGAGCCATCTTAGCTTCCAAACTCAGACAAAGAGCAGCAGCCACTTCTTGAGAACACCATACAAATTAGCACTGTTATTTTCCTCTTGGCAATGTGTTGCCAAGTAGTGGGGGGAAATTATTTGGATTATGTTGATGAATTGTCATACTAATGATCATTTTTGCACAAATAAATAATAGTCTAATAAACTTAAGTATTGATTCTAATTATTCAAAGCTAGAATAGTTGGAATCAGCATCTAGACCATTATAGTGTAATATTCAGTTTCATGGAAATATCACCATAAATAATTTCAATCCACACGTATACTATGCCACACACTGTGTAGAACGTCTCAAGTTCTCAAGTTGGGAAGAACTTGATGTGGATGAAAGCCAACTTAAGCTAAAGAACTGGCAGCTGTTGATTTCACGTTGTTGTGTATATAATACACAACAGTAACTGCATTTATTTCTATTATTGCAATCATGGCTTATCTTTATTTATTTATTAGAAAATTTATTTGTCACCCATCTAATATCCAATGACTCGGCATCTTTAGATGGGGTTGTTTCAAACTCATGATAACATTTTGGATAAATTTTAAAAACTGACATAAAAGTAGCAACAAATATTTTTGAACATACTCCTTCCAGATCAGTTCATCTTCTACATTCTAAGTAGACAATACCAATATATTTAGAATAAGGCTTTAATCCAAGACTGAAAAGCAATAAATGGTAACTAAAATGCAATTATCACTTGGTTTTAAAAATCAATTGATTTCTCTGGATGAAATACAAGTCCATAAAGCTTCATGGCTTTTACAATCCATTTTGGTGTCTACCTGCAGTTGATTCTTGGCACTTGTCAAATGACCACCGTACTTCAACAGCACGTCCCCTTTGTTTTATCTGCTGTTCTACTTCAAAAATCTTTGCACGAACCTGTAAAGAAAGCAACAATTATATAATATATAATGCATAATGTACTACATAACACATACATTTTAGTGCTGGCTTTTCCAGAGCATGAGGATATATATTTGAAAAATAAATGAGCATGGATGAACCACAGGAAAACAGGAACGCGACATACTCTTGTAAGTTACAACAAAAATAGCCTTTTGATCTGAAAAATCTTAACATTCATCTTTCTGAAAGTTTGAATTAAATTTGTTAGCATTTGAAAATGCTGTAAAGGAAATTATTTTCAACGGTTCAGAGAAAGAATGTATTCCCTGAATTCTGCTCAGAATTATGGACAGGATACTATTTATGTAGACAGAGCAGGATTAACCATCTCAATACTCCATACAACTGCTCAATGTTTAAATCGTTTGACATATACACTATTGTGCAATTATTACAATATTGCTGAAAATCACATAAAATAAAAATCAAAACACTATGACTTGAAAGTTTGTATATTTTTTTGATATTTGAATATGAATATTATTCATTGACTACATTTATATTCTGCCTATTCTCTAGGAGTTCAAAGAGACATATATGATATCTATTCATTTATCCTCAAAATAGCCATCTTTTGAGATATGCTAAATTGTACTATGAGCTCTAAATATTTATCTCAGTGTAACTATTAATGCACAACTAACTATTAATGTGGGAGCCAGTGAAATAATAAATGCTTTCAGCTTTGAGCAAGTAACCCAAATTTAAATCCTCATTCAGGCAAGAAGCTTGCTGAGGCCTTGAGTGCAGTCACTCACTCCAGCTGAAGTTTACCTCAAACAATTCATGTTAAGAAGCTAAAATTAGGCGAGACCCACATGTAAGTCACTTACATTGGCTAATTGACAGGCCTTCTTCATAATCTGCTGCAAAACTATGTTAACAATTCGTTTAACACTTTTTTCTATTTGAAGAACAAGTTAAATGTTAATTTTATTTTTTAAAAATAGCTAAAATGGTGCCAACAGATGTAAAAAATGGTAAGGTACTGGTGTCTAGCATATCATTCAATTTTTCAGTCTCCATAAATACTATTAAACAAGAGTTTGATGATGGTGGTGTTGATGTGATGGAGCTGCTACATTAAAATTGAATGAGCAAAAGTCCTTACTGCAGAAACAGCTTTAGGATAGCTGGGTTTTAGGCTACTGCCTTAATTAATAAATAAATAAATAACACGGAAGGTGATACCTTCAAAGATTGTTACACTCACTTTAATGGGGAATACTACTGCACTGATATTAAAGATAGTTCCTATCTCTTGCAAATGGTTCAGTTTATGTGTAGTGTTTATTATTTTACTTAAATTTATACATTTCTTGTCAATATTAAAAAGGGCAAAGAACCTGTATGGAACACTGGAACCATATGACCAATCAAAGCCATTCCATTTGCAGTTGAGACTCAGGATGTATGTACAGCATTGGTGAAACGATACCTTCACAGACTTGAAAGTTAAACATGTTTATATGGTGTATTCTTTTATATGAATATTCCAACATTCTCAGAAAGTTCATTTCTAACATGTTTATCACACTCTTTATTCTACCTTTCTACATTCTCATGAAGCAAACTCCTACCCATTCTTCCTATATAAATATATCAACTCTGCAATAGAGAAGCAGGAAAAGGTGATGCATGAGTGACAGCCACTAGCTGTAAAAGACAGAATTATGGGATTTTTCAGCAGAATGGAGTGTTCATGTTTTGAAATCCAAGTAAAAACTACCTGCTGATTGAATACAGAATTTCCTCCTGGCATTGGTAAGCTGGATGGAGAAACTTGAAGTAAATCCAAAGGTGAGCCAGGATTTATGTTTTTACTTTCATTTGTAGAATAATTCCAGACCAAGGCACTTGGGCAACAGAGAGTTATAGTCTGAAGTAGAAAATAGAAGAACTTAAATGATGTAATTAGATTATTCAATTTTATAGAAAGCAGCAAAAAAAAAAAAAACTTTTTAGAAAAAAGGGTTTTGTTTTTTAAAAAGTGCACATAATTTGTTCAAAATGTCCTTATATCTATTTCATTATATTCATCAAAAAATAGACTGGTTTAACATCACTGCAATTCAAGAAATAATATGCATAACGTATTTCAATTCAAAATACAAACGCGTAAAAGCTACTTTTAAAAATTAAACATTTGCTGTTCTGAATTCTCAAACTGAAACAAACCATCAGAATTGATTTTTAAAAATAAAATAAAAAGTATAAAAAGAAAACCATTATTTCCCCCACACACTCCAAAATACTAGAGATTCTGCTTGTTTTTGTAGACACTTTTACTAGAGAACAAAAGTAAATGCTTGGTATTATTATCTTCACGCTACATTAGAAAAAGTCACAGTGAATGGGCACAATACTAAGCCTTTTACTCCAATTTTATAGCTATGTGATTATTCTAGACCCGTGATGGCGAACCTATGGCACGGGTGCCACAAGTGGCACACGGAGCCATATTGGTGGGCACGCGAGTGTTGCCCTAGCTCAGCTCCAGCACACATGCGCACACCAGCCAATTGATTTTCAGGCCTTCCAGTCCCACCGGAAGTCAGGAAACTGACTGTTTCTGGCCTCCAGAAGGCCTCTGGGGGGATGGGGAAGGCTGTTTTTGCCCTCCCCAGGCTCCTAGAAAGCCTCTGAAGCCTGGGGAGGGAAAAAAACGAGCCTACCGGGCCATTGTGTGCCAAAAGCAGGGAGAAGTATGGGAGGGGTCACGTGCACATGCGCAGGAGGGCGGGGCACATTGAATTATGGATGTGGGCACACACACACATGACCCCTCCCGTGACCCCCGCTTTTGGCATGTGACGGCAAAAAGGTTAGCCATCACTGTTCTAGACAGTCAGAAAAGAATGGCCTTTCTAGAAAATATCTTAGAAAGTAAGGAATAATCACCCAAATATTTGTCAGGAAAAATACTATTTTAATCCCAATCTCTTCCTGATTAAATTTCAAACTTATCTGAGATATTTTAAATGCATACATAATTGCTTTCTGTGAGCAGAGGGAGAGAGAGAGAGAGAGAGAGATCCACAATGCAGTATTTATTCAGCAGTAAGGTAAAAGGTAAATGTTCCCCTCACACATATGTGCTAGTCGTTCCCAACTCTAGGGGATGGCGCACATCTCCGTTTCAAAGCCGAAGAGCCAGTGCTGTCCGAAGAAGTGTCCGTGGTCATGTGACCAGCATGACTAAACGCCAAAGGTGCACAGAACGCTGTTACCTTCCCACCAAAGGTGGTCCCTATTTTTCTACTTGCATTTTTTACATGCTTTCAAACTGCTAAGTTGGCAGCTAGCTGGAACAAGTAACAGGCGCTCACCCTGTTATGCAGCACTAGGGATTAGAACCATTGAACTGCTGACTATTTCGATCAACAAGCTCAGCATCTTAGCCACTAAGCCACTGTGTTGCCTATTCAACAGTAACATAGCCAATATATGTTATTTCAGAATTTCCTCTCTGCTATGCACTTACCTGCAGCATACAGCTTAGGCCGTAGACAAGAGGGCGGTGTTGGGGGCAGGCAAGAAAATCTGAACAGGCGAGTTGGGCAGGATTGACTACAGTACCAGTTGTCGAAGAGCTGGGAGCTGCCAGAGGAGGATTATTTGGTCCAATAATAATATGAGGCGAGTGGGCAGCTATGAGGTTAGTATTGTCACTTATCAACAAAGAGACACGTCTGGCACAGAAGTAAGCAAGGCGACGCGACAGGTAGGCTGACTGAACAAACTCTTCAGAATACTGAAAGATATTAGTTTAAAAAAAATCATCATCAGAGTGTATATCAAAATTTCCCATCCAGTTGCTTGTACTTTCTTTAGCATCCCAACCATCCAAAGCAAAATCTTAAATTCTTCCAAGGACTTCCAGTCTCTCTCACACTAGAAAGCGTTTGGTGCAGTGGTGGGATTCAGCCAGTTCGCACCACTTCAGGAGAACCGGTTGTTAACTTTCTTAGCAGTTTGATAAATTGGTTGTTGGAAGAAATCATTAGGGCAGAGAACTGGTTGTTAAATTATTTGAATCCCACCACTGGTTTGGTGTATCAAGTCTGTCAGACTTTTTTTTTTCCCAATTACGACTTTTCAAATCCATCTCTCCTAAATCAGAATTGGCAACCACAGGACTTCCAGCACTTTTTATGTGATTTCTTAGGCCCACTTTTGACCCAGACCATTCCCACCATGGCCAGGCTCTGTTTTGTCTATTTCAGGGGTCTCCAACCTTGGCAACTTTAAGACTTGTGGACTTCAACTCCCAGAGTTGTGGGAGTTGAAGACTTCAACTCTAGGAGTTGAAGTCCACAAGTTTTAAAGTTGTGGTTGGAGACCCCTGGTGGAGTCCCCTGATCTATTTTGTGTGGTTTAGGGAAGAAAAGATCTGATAGATGGAAGAGGTAGATGGAAACCTTAACGCTCAGAAGAAGAAAAGCAAGATACTGACAGAATCAGTAGTGTGGTATGTAAACAAAAATAATAGGGTGAGTTCTAAAATAGACTTTTGAAATGTTAAATAATATAAAATCAGGATTGGAATCTTTTCAGTCACTCTTATGATTTTCTATATGTATAAGATGTTTTAAATGGGCTACAAGTTGGAAAAAAACCTCGTAAGATTTCCACATTCTTGCCTCACAATAAATCTCACAAGATCTATTGATGCAATTTGGGGGTCATTGCTAGTTCTCTGTCAAGCCTCTCGTAGATATGTGAACTGAGAGTGAATTTTTGCAGGCATGAATTTATTGTACCAAGTTCTCTGTACCAAGACTTATTAAGGTGAAAGTTAGTGCTGATACAACTTCAGAAATTGAATGACCTTTAGTCTAGAATTAACATATTTCCATGTATAGGAGTTTGAGACTTGAGTCTTTCTTCCACAGCTTTACAACTGTTAATTACTGAGAGGAGGCAGATATTTTAGTTGATAAACTGAAAGTTGGCAGTTATTTTTTCTTTATACCTGTTATTTGATTTCTTATCTGACATCAAACCTTACAACTGTAAGCAACCTACACTTAGTTTAACTTACTGAATTCTGAAAACATCTCCTGTTTGAGTATTTTGGGACCGTGGCAAATTATATTAATCTTTGTACCTGCAGCATTAGTGGTAGGAGGAGTTTCAAAAGTTCGTCATCAGCTGGTCTTATTTTTTCCAAGACATCCAGGATCCACGTTAAATATTCATGTCTTTCAAGCATTCCTTCCTTAAGGAATTTTAGAAATATATGTAAAGAAATTCCCAAATCCCACAGAAAACAATTACATCACTGCTTCATTGCTTAAGATGCCAATTAAGAATAAATGCCACAAAATTCAATGTCATAAAACTGACATATAAACCATATGAACATTTTTAATATATTACAAAACAATGTTAAAATTTAAAATTAATAGTTAAAAATTGTATACCGGTTACCTAAACATCTGAAATGACTACACAGAATCATTATCATCCTCCAGTATCAATTCAATCCTTCCTGTGATGGTGCTTATGTAGCCAAAACCTTACCATTCACAAACAAGAATCAGAAGAGCATGCCGGTAGATTTATTTCAGTGAAATGCAATGTTCAGAGATCAGCATTAAGCAAAACAACTAGGTGGGAAAATGAATGAAACTGAGTGGTTGAACAAGGAAGAAATAGAAAAGGCAGAGGTTTTTATTTAAAAAGAGTAGAATGCTCTTGTAGCCTGATTTTTCAGACTACTTACTTACACTGAAAAATTATTTTACACACTTACAAGTATAAGTGTACAAGAGATGGTATTCAGCAGGTTCTGACCAGTTCTGGAGACCAGTAGCGGAAATTTTGAGTAGTTCGGAGAACCCGTAAATGCCATCTCTGACTGGCCCCGCCCCCATCTATTCTCTGCCTCTTGAGTCCCAGCTGATCGGGAGGAAATGGGGATTTTGCAGTAACATTCCCCTGGAGTGAGGAAGGAATGAGATTTTACAATATCCTTTCCCTGGAGTAGGGTGGGAATGGAGATTTTACAGTATCCTTCCCCTGCCATGCCCACCAAGCCATGCCCATAGAACCAGTAGTAAAAAATTGGAATCCTACCACTAAAGTGTACCTAATATGGAAAGGGCATACTAAATGGGAACAGCGTACCTAATATGGAAAGGGCATACTAAATGGGAACAGCATGCTTCCTCTTTTGAGAGGAGGCAAAAAATAATGTAGGGAGAAGAAATACTACTGCAATGCTCTGTACATGGGGCTCCCCTTGGGGTGCACCCGGAGGCTCCAGCTGGTCCAGAATGCGGCTGCGCAGGGGATTATGGGAGCGACGGGGCGCTACCATGTGACACCTTTCCTGCACGAGCTGCACTGGCTCCCGGTGGTCTTCCGGGTGTGCTTCAAGGTGTTGGTGACCACCTTTAAAGCGCTCCATGGCTTAGGGCCAGGGTATCTACGAGACCGCCTTCTGCTGCAAATAGCCTCCCACCGGCCAGTACGCTCGCACAGAGAGGGCCTCCTCAGAGTGCCGTCCGCCAGACAATGTCGGCTGGCGATCCCCAGGGGGGGAGCCTTCTCTGTAGAGGCACCCGCCCTCTGGAACGACCTCCCCCTAGAGATACGCACGATATCAGACCTCTGGACTTTTCATCGGGTCCTGAAAACTCATTTATTTCACCTAGCCAGGCTGGCTTGATCCCATCCGTGTCAGTTTTAATTTGAAATTGGTTTTAATTAGGTTGTTTTAAATTGTGGGCTGAAATTATTTAATTACCTTTTAAACTGTTTTTTAAATTTTGTATGCTCTGTTTTATCTCGGCTGTTCACCGCCTTGAGTCCTGCTGGAGAAGGGCGGTATACAAATCAAATTAAATAATTAATAAATAAATAAATAAATAAATAAATAAATAAATAGACTAAAAGTTTGAAAGTCTGAATAGAAGTCTTCTACTACAGCTTGTTCTGTAGAACTACCAGTTGTAGTATATTTTAATTGTTCTCTCTTTGGCAAAGACTAAGTGTATATCCAAAATATAGTAAATATATGCTAAACAAGCTCTATACTTCCTTTTTCGGGGAAGAATGTGAAAGGAAGGCATTATTGGATGATACAGGTACATCTTTTTCCAAGTGTACAAGGTTAATTTATTCTGCAACTAGTATTGTTTTCTTTTTCATTAAAGATGCACAGTTTTGGCATTTATGATGTTTTTAATACCATTATGTATCAATTAACAGCATTCGTCCTTGCTTAACAACTCTAACTGGGACCAGAAGTTCTACCAGTAAGTGATGCAGTACTTAAATGAAACAACATGTGACCACACTGTTTAGTGAAAGCACTTTTGGTGGCCCCAGTTGCAGTTGTTAGGCCAGGAACATGCCATGTTAGGGGAAGACGTCATGCTTCTCCTGTCCTGCTGTGTTTGTCTCCACTTAAACTCTCTCCACCCACCTATCTACCTCGCAACTCTGCCTTTTGACTATCTTGCACTCCACTGCTCCTGCACCTCTGCCATTTCTGCCATCCCAGCTGTCTTCATCATCTTTCTTCTCCTATTGTTAAGGTGTGCCTAGCCAGACCTTTCATGAGTCAGCCAAGGGCAAGAGAGTTCAGGATGGTGAGGGTGCAGAATGGAGTGCAGGGTCGTAGGGATGGCAGAGGCCAGGTGCAGGGGAAGTAGAGTACAGGGCAGCCAACTGGGCAGAGATGGGTGGGAGATAAATGGGTAGGAGAATTTGAAGCACACATGAATGTAAATGCAGGTAGGCTGCCGAGCATCTGAATTCTAATCAGGAGAGCATTGCAATGGCCATAACTTTGAAGATAAGTTATAAATATTATTTGTTCAGCAGTATCATACATTTGAACAGTCACTGAGTGAAAGGTCATAAAGAGAGGACTACCTGATAAAAGCAGTACATTCATAAGCTGTTTCTTTGCAACTATTCAATTTTGTATCATCTGACTGATAATTCTTCATCAAATACGTTTAACATATTTTTTCACTATAATCTGACATTTCTTATAACTGCTTATAAGCAGTTAATATATAATATATAAATAATATATGCAGATAAATAATTTGTGGTCAGGGCAGTGATTCTGATTGTTGCATGAGACGATGAATGACATACAGTAAATGCACATCTGTAATATTGCTGTTGCTACTGCTATTGTTATTTAGCATTACTTTAAATTCTACATTTCTTCACCCTGGATATTTCAGATGGTAACACAAAAGGACTATCTAGCTGGAAATAAGTCTGGCTTTAATTACTAGCTATTTAACATTTAATACAGCCTGACACTAAACACATTATGAGCAAGGAGACTGAAAACAAACTAGAATCATATTGTACTGCTTTGCAGAATTTTATCCTGCTTCATTATAAAAAAAAAAAGGTTACCTGGAACATATAAAATGTCAACTTTTCATTATATTCCCACTGCTTCAGAGCTTGTTCCACTTCACGAGGCACAACTACAGAGTTTTTGCCTTGGCTTGTAGACATGTGATAAAATTCTGCAATCTTTACCAACTGTTCTCTTAGGTACCTGGTAGAGATTTGAGTCCATTCTATAGAGACACAAATTAAGTAATCGTTGACAATCGCTTTTCTTCAATGACAAAACTGTGTCAAAAAAACTCAACACAATTTGATTTATATTTAGCTGAGCTGTCACAAACCCATAATCTTCAAAATAGTGATCAGTGGGAGAGCTACAAGAATCCAGTTTGAATGGCTTTTAGCATGACAGTCTCTTTATTACAATGCTTTCAAAGAATGCAAGCTTGTACCTGTAGTTTGCTAAAGGAAGTTTATTCTGCAAATGTCTTGTTTTCATGGATCACATTGATGTACAGTATTTTGAGCAAGGAGAAATGAATTGTAGTTTGATATGAACCAGATTTGAGAATTCATTTGAGAATAAAAATTATTCTTCAAGCATTTCTATGTAGTATCCAGATGATGGAGCTTTACGGCAGAAGCATATAATACTGAAACAAATTTCTTTTTGCCTTTGGAAACATTCAGAAAACTTGATTCTGGAAGTCTTTATTTAAGATCTATTAGGCTGCTGAACTGTGACACCTGACTGCCCTCACATCCTGGACATAAACTGTTTCAACTCCTACCCTCAAAATGACGCTATAGAACACTGCACACCAGAACAACTAGACACAATAACAGTTTTTTCCCGAATGCCATCACTCTGCTAAATAATTCTCTCAATACTGTCAAACTAGTTACTAAGTCTGCATTACTGTTAATCTTCTCATTGTTCCTATCATCCATCTCCTTCCACTTATGACTGTACGACTGTAACTTTATTGCTTGTATCCTTACGATTTATATTGATATTGTTTTCTGATTGCTTATTTGTACCCTATGACTATCATTAACTGTTGTACCCTATGATTCTTGATGAACATATCTTTTACACTGAGAGCATATGCACCAAGACAAATTCCTTGAGTGTCCAATCACACTTGACCAATAAAAAATTATATTCTATTCTACTCTACTCTACTCTATTCTACTCTACTCTACTCTATTCTATTCTATTCTATTTTCTTATAAATTGACCTCTGGATTTTCTTAGGTTTCTGTAGCTGTTCGCTTTGCATCATTTTATGGCTAGTATCTGAGGTACAAAACTCGATGGCAGCAGAAAGACCCATATCATCTGTCACCATCTTTCCTGATATTTGTAATTCAGATCTGTTAACGCTTACCATAATGTGAGCTGATTTATTTTTTCTGGATTCGAATTATGCATTTGAGGGCAACTCAGTTTACAGTTTTAAGAAAAGGACAGCAACACTAGCAGCTTATTATTTGAAGATTCTATTTCACCCATTAACACTGTGCATTGTGATTGCTTAAATCCCAGTGATATGAACTCAGGTGACAAGAGATGTGGAACAATCCATTTTGCTATTCAAGAAAAACGTTCCACTCCCAATAATAGCTGCCATCCATTAAAAGAACTAATTATCCTGGTCTTCCTTATCTGTATGTCTGTCTTGCTGTATTTCTGAAATCACCTACACATTATGCACTATAAAAGGAGAATGCAGCTGAGGAAGTTGAATCTTTTCCAAAATGCAGTTTTAATCCCCCAAACATATTTTAAACCAGAAGTACTCCTTTTATCTAATACATAACATGGAATTATATTTAAATACACAGTTTTGATTTAGTTTCATAGAGTTCAAAGCTATATGTTATTCATTAAAATGCATGGTAGCTGAACTGAAGATTTCTACAGTGTCAAATGCTTCAGAGATAGCTTTTAGTTCATTTTTCAACTATTTTGGCACAGCTTTTATTAGCTGAGGACCACACATCTGAGTAGTATATTGAGAGATACATACTCTTCAAATCCATGGGTAGAGTCAAAACAAACTCAAAATTAGTTTTATTTGCATAATTTAAGTGAAATTAAATATGCTTAAGATATTTGTCTCTGTATATATAGTTATTCATTTTTCCCTTCTGTAACATGAAAAGTAACAATTTGTAATAATCTTTTAAGAGTTTCTTGGCTACCTGCATCCCTTTGGGAGATGTTGGTTATGTCTTAGTGACTAAATTGCTTCCAATTCCTACAAGCCAAAAATTCATTTTTCAGGCTACATTTTCCATAAAAATGATATGCAAAAACAGTAAGTTTTACCCTTACATTTCTTTAGAGACGCAATGATTTATTTATTTATTTATTATTTGGACTTATATGCCACCCTATCTCCGAAAGGAGTCAGGGCGGCTCACAACAATAAAACACACAAAGTTCCATTTTTTAAAAAAATACCCAATAAAACTATAAAAACCATTAAAATCCCCTCTAAAACCCCTTCAGTCCAAGCCAGCCAGGTGGAATAGCCATGTTTTAAGGCCACGGTGGAAAGAGCGAAGGTCAGGGGCCACCCGGAGCCCCAGGGGGAGCTGATTCCACAGGGTAGGTGCGCCCACAGAGAACGCCCGCTCCCTAGGGGTCACCAACCGACATTGTCTGGCCGACGGCACCCCAAGGAAGCCCTCCCTGTGGGAACACACCGGGCAATGGGGAGCTGTCGCTGGCTGCGAATGGTCCGCCAAATACCCCGGGCCTAAGCCATGATACATAGTTTCTTTATTCTTTCAAGAGATATTATAGAAATAAACTATGAGATCATTTCAATATTATGCCAGTAGATATTTCAGAATGGAATCCTCTATCACTATCAAAGATTTATGCAGTACTGTATTAATGTTAGAGAGAGAACATGCCAAAGGGAAAAATATTCAAATCAAACTGTCAACGTATCATCTTTACAGCAAAACTCTACTTCCTGCTGACTACTGATTGAGCCTTTCTATTTTCATAATCCATGTGTCTGAGATGCTCACTGAGATCAACATATTACAGTAGATATGAAACAATCCTAGATATAAAGTGATGCCTCTGGGCATTCAAGAAAATAAATTAGTCTTATTACTTCTACAGATCAGTCAATACAATATCTCTGAAATTTAGCGTGACAGCTATTAAAAAACTAGAATTCATTTTATTTGCTGTATCAATAAACATGCCACAGTACATTGTATGCTGACATTTTAGTTAGTGATGTAAGTATTAGATTTATTTACCTCACCAAAAATATCACTTGAAGCCAAGATCGCCAAACAGAGGCTGTCATACTTTGGTCGTGTCATGAGAGTTGAGTCACTCGAAAAGTCAACCATGCTGGGAATGATCAGTAGAAAAAAGAGAAGGGGCCACCCTATACCTGTTGGCTGGACAGTATAAAAGATGACACTGGGATAACCATGGTGGATCTGAAGGAAGCAGTTCGAGACAGAGGGGCCTGGGGAGTGTTGATCCATAGAGTGACCAAGGGTCAGACACAACTGAATGACTGATGACAACGACATAAGTACTAGAAGATTCTCAGGTTTAGTTAACAAAACCTAAGGCACAATTTGGCTTCTTTTCAGCTTAGTCTGATGGATGTCATAATATTACGTGCAAAAGGGAATTACATTACATTACTCTTATCCAGTTGTTTTAGGAGCTAACATTCAATACATCTGGAGAACACAAGGTTGAAAAACTATTTACATATAATAAGTCATATTTTGCAAGGCAATTGTATTTGCTTGAAGGCACCAATAGATAACTATGAAGACAAAAGTCTATAATATAAAAGCAATTGGAAAGAATTATTGTGTGAGACAGATTTAATTAGCCATCCTGAACATGTCACATCAGCACTAAAGTAAGGAAAGCTCTAGCCATATGCATGTTTGTTATGAAACTCAACTAAGCACATCTTATTGAGTAAATGCACAAATAATACAGAATAGCTTAATATGCAAGAGTGAAACTCACTTTGTGAAAAAATGAAGGTATAAACATCTTTAAACTAACAGCAACAACTAGAATATTTCTTTAAAAGCCAACACCAGTGTGGTTTTTTTATATACATCTTTTACTTTAAACTCTCTAAATTACCCTTAAAAAGGAAAATGCTTTGTATAAGAAGTGAAAGGTAAATCTGGAATCCACTTTTACTGTGAGTGAGTTCTCAAGATTAGAAGGGGAAAACCTAGTGAAACAAGTCCCCTTAAATGAATCATGTTAGCAGATCTCTCTTCAAAAATCACATTTAACAAATATGGAAAAATCTGAAAACTTCTGGATGTAAATTGACTGAAAATACAAGTGAAAAAGCATAGAAAGTTCTATCTTTATAAACTTTGCTATAAAGATACGGAGCGATATAGTGTAAACTAGCTTTATTTCCTTCCATTTTTACCCTATTTCCTTAATTTATCTGACTTATTTTTTACTACTTTCTTCCACACCAAAGCATATTCAGCCCAAAGGAAATAGCATGATGGGTATGTATTATCTACCAATATCAATAGTTTAAATCAAAGGAGTGATCCATTTGATAAATTGAATATACAGTGACTAAATCTCTAGTTAAGTGATCGAACTACCATTTTTTAAAACATGGTGTTAATAATATACCATACTGTACAAACCAAAAGTCATTAATAGATACAGCCTATTTGTCTAAAATCTGCTCAAGTTTCTCATTTAGGATAGGAAGAGAACAATTAATACATTTTCTCTGGAAGTCATGAATCAGGCTTCAGCTTTCATTCTGCTCTTGTACTAAAAATTCAAATATATTTTCATTGATCAGTAATGACAACCTAAAGAAACGGAAGCTTGTTATTGTCATTCCATGATACAATCACCTTATGATTCTTGTTTGAATTGCACAGACACCTACTGTACTGGGACAAGAAAGGAGCCTCCCCCATTTGCCTATCAGCATTCAGGAGTTCCGCAGGTAAAGATAACAACGCCTGAAAAAATTCCTTTCACAGAGACAGCCAGCCACCTCAGTGATCCCTGGCTAACATGTGCCATACGCTAAATAAATAAATAAAACTTACTGTAGTTTATGAAGCATACAGGAAAATGTGCAGATTATCAATTTATACCCTCCGTAAATAGTGCAACCCCACAGCAGTACAAAAATGTGTATTAATAATGCAAAGATATTACATTCAGAATTTATTACCAAGATTTGGATCAGCTGCCTGGCGTTTCTTGATTTTAGCTTCAGAGATGGCTGAGTAGTAGGCACACGTCATTTTTATCAACCATGCTGCTCGCAAGAGTGGCACAGAATATCTTGCTAAATAAGCAAAAACATCTTCCTTTTTGCTGAGAATTGGGACCTATATTTGAAGATGAAGAGAAAGAATTTTAAAAAGTGTGGCTATGGTACCCTAAACCTGTTACATGACAAATTGTAAAATTTAATTCAACTACAGACATCTAGTAATAATTGAATGACATGTAGAAAAAAAATAACGATAGGAGTAATTAGAGAAAGCAAAAGTTAGTGACTGATTGGTATCAGATTAGTCAAACTGTTGCTTTTTGGTATGTTAAAAATAATTTAAAGGTTCTGTTAATCTGGATCAAATGAAATTATGTATTATTTCCATTAAAAGCTGCTTGATTTTAAATAGCGAGCTTAAAACATACTTGCTGGCAAAATGAATATTTTATTCATTGATCAAATGTATTTTCATTTTCATTCAACAGAATGTTGAATAGCCATAATAGCTGTAATACTCTGCTTCTCAAAAATGTTTGAAGCAAAATATGGCAAACTTATATAGTCTGTCACATTGGCAGCTCTTACATCTCAATGTAATTAACAGCTTCGATAAAATGATATGTTTCTTAAAGATGCAAGCCCACAAATGTTGCATTTAAGTCCTGTGAAAAAGAGATCAGTTCCACTAATGCAGGCTTAGTCAACATTCTTAGGTGAAATACAGGCTTGATCTTAACAATAGCTAAAAATGGGCAACACTTCTACCCCTTAAGAAATAGATTTTATCAGGTTTCCTGAAATATTGAAAAGTCAGTTTCCTTCACTTTTGTGTTTAGGATTCCTACTATTTTCAAAAACTTCCTTTTTAATGCTGTGTAGAACTTTACACACAATATATTCACTTTAGTATGAAACAATACAAACAAGTCAGCACTTAAAGTTGTGGATACCTTTGTGAAAGACAAAATTCTAACGTAACTTTTTCACAGCTCACAACAAGGAGTTTCACGCAGATATAAATTTTTACCAGTTTTTACTCTTTTTATTGTCTCTGAGGACTCGTGCAAGTTTCAGTATCTATTTGTGCAATACATCATAGTTACTTACAACTCACTGGAGGACAAGGTGTCATTTTGTCCGCTGCATTCCACAGCACTTCTTGTTGCTATTATGTACAATCCAATCATAACTGTGAAAATCCAGAAGTCTGCTGTAATACACATATCTCCATGGCCACCTCTGTTTGCTGCTGGATGTCACTTCTTGCCAGTAATAGCAGCATCAGCCAGAGATAGTACTCATTTGTTATCAGTCATTCTCTTCTGCTCCACCTCATAACTCCCTTAGTCAGCTTGGCCAGTAACTAAACTTAGCATTTCAAGCATCTACCCAAACTGACAATACTCTGTACTATCTCAGATGACCAAAAATGATTGGTGGTTGTTTTTCCACTGACAAGGGAAATGAAGGAAAGAAATCTACCAATCCCTTTCCTTAAATCACTTACAAGGAGTAATTAAGGAATCATTCACTGGCCTTATTACTGCCGGACAATAGCAATAGGAACAAAATTGTTCTGTCCACCAAGAGAGTCATAAGTAGTACATTGTACAAACAGCTTAGAAACTTGCATGAGTCCTCAGAGATCATTTATGTTGGCTTTTCGGTAAGCTCAGCATCAGGTCAGACATAAGAAAGAAGACACCATAGAAAATTTGAGAAAGGGAAATGAAAAAAACAATATGGAGTGTTAGAGGTAAAAATAGAACAGGAACTCTCATAATTTCTTTTGCATGAAGCTGCTTTAATGAAATATCTTGCTTATTTTCTTAATATTGCACTTGAGATTCAGATCAGAATCACATACACCAGGGGTGGGTTCTACTTACTTTTACTACCGGTTCACAACAGGGCCGCGCGCATGCGCAGAAGCATTCTGATGACATCGGGGTCGGTGGGCGGAGCCTCCTGCTGCTTTTACTACCAGTTCTATAGAACCAGTGCGAACCGGGAGCAACCCACCACTGACATGTACCCTCCTCCTCTCCCAAATAATGAAGAAGCCATCCAAGTACCTTTTTTGCTAGGAAAGTCAGAGGTTTATTTCCTGCCAAATCTGCAAACCAAGTATGAATTGCACTCTGGGATCGAGCAGTAACTAGCCAGTAATTGTCTTTAGCATTTATTTGCAATTTCTTCTTTCCTGTATCCTGGAATGTATTAAGTTTTAACTTCTCTGCTAATATGCTGCTAAAATAAGCACCAATCTGATAAGGGAAGAAAACACAAACAGAATAAGCATTTTCTAATATATATAATGTATATATATAATGTCCTGGATTAAAGAGATCAAGTGTACTTTAAGTAGTACCTTGATAAGATTAGCCTCTAAATTCTTTATTGCAGCAGTCAGAAACTTGATAATCTGAATAGCATTATCATTCAGGTATGGATATTATGGATATAAAAGTTATTGACAATGAATATTAAAGTATCTCTTAGGCCAGGGGTGTCAAACTGGATTTCTTCCAGGACCGGATCAGCATTGCAGTTCTCCTACGCGGCTGATGGGGGAGCAGTGGGGGGGGGCAGGATGGATGCCTCCTGCAGCACCCTTCCGGCCAAAACTGGGTGCAGGGGTTCATGCACAGCCCTCCTGCATCTCGTTTTCACCCTCCACAGCCTCCTGCAGCACTCTGATAGCCATTTTGGGGGCATTTCTGCCCCATTTTCAGCCGATTTTTCGCCCCATTTTCGTGCCCATTTTCGTGCCATTTTTTGGGCCATTTCAGCCGACAGAGTGCTGGAGGAGGCCATGGAGGGTGAAATTGCTTAACGCATTGTAAGCCGCTCTGAGTTGTTGGAGAAAGGTGGCATATAAATCAATTTTTTTAAAAAAACAAGGCGCAGGGGGCGCATGCAGCCTGTTTTACCTACCAGGCACACTGCGGACCAGTCCTTTGATACTTCCAGGCCGGCCCCATGGGCTGGATTTAAGCACCCCATGGGCCAGATCCAGCCTGCGGGCCTTGAGTTTGACACCCCTGTCTTAGGCTATAATAAAAATAAACCTTATTATTAAAGTATAATTGCAGTTAAAGAACCTATCCAGAAAAGGCAAATGTTAAATTTGAAGTCTGCGACATTTTCCTTCTTTCAAATATCAATTAAAAATCATTTGTAAAAGTTGATCCTTGATCAATATATTTTAATTTAATTTAATTTAATTTCCAATTTATATACCGCCCTCTCCCTGTGGACTCAGGGCGGTGTACAGCAAAAATAAGAACATAGAATACAAATATTAAAAAACAGTTAAAAATATATATAAATTTGGCCCAGAATTTAAGAAATCACAAACCGATTAAAAGAATTTAAAAAATTTCTTCTTAAGCCAGCCCGGCTTGCTGGAAAAGATGGGTTTTAAGGGCACGACGAAAGGCACTGAGGTCATGGATTCTCCTTATCTCAGGGGGCAACTGATTCCAGAGGGTAGGAGCCCACACAGAGAAGGCCCTCCCCCTGGGGGTCACCAGCCTATATTGTTTGGCTGATGGCACCCTGAGGAGGCCCTCTCTGTGTGAGCGCACAGGTCGATGGGAGGTCGTCGGTAGCAGCAGGCAGTCTCACAGATAGCTAGGCCCTATGTCATGGAGCGCTTTAAAGGTGATGACCAACACCATGAAGTGCACCCGGAAGACCACCGGGAGCCAGTGCAGCTCGCGCAGGAGCGGTGTTACATGGGAGCGCCATGCTGCTCCCATCACTACCCGCACTGCTGCATTCTGGACCAGTTGGAGCCTCCGGGTGCTCTTCAAGGGGAGCCCCATGTAGAGAGTGTTGCAGTAGTCAAGGCGAGAGGTGATGAGGGCATGAGTGACTGTGCACAAGGAATCCCAATCAAGAAAGGGCCGCAACTGGCGAATCAGGCGAACCTGACAAAAGGTCCCCCTGGTTACAGCCGTCAGATGTTCCTCCAAGGACAGCTGCATATCCAGGAGGACTCCCAGATTGTGAGCCCTTTCAGTGGGAGCCAAAGACTCGCCCCCAATAGTCAGTGATGGAGTCAACTGGCTATATCGGGATGCCGGGAGCCACAGCCACTCTGTCTTGGAAGGGTTGAGTTTGAGCCTGTTCCTCCCCATCCAGATCCACACAGCCTCCAGGCACTGGGACATCACTTCAAGGGCATCGTTGGGGTGGCCTGGGGTGGAGATGTACAGCTGGGTGTCATCAGCGTAATGATGGTATCTCACCCCGAAGCCATGGATAATCTCACCCAGCGGCTTCACATAAATGTTGAACAGAAGGGGCGAGAGGACCAATCCCTGCGGCACTCCACAGATGAGAGGCCTCGAGGTCGACCTCTGCCCCCCTACCAACACAACCTGCGACCGGTCGGAGAGAAAGGAGGAGAACCACCGCAACACGGTGCCTCCCACCCCCAACTCTTCCAGCCGGTGCAGCATGATATCATGGTCGATGGTATCAAAAGCCGCTGAGAGATCTAACAGGACCAGAACAGAGGAACAACCCCTGTCCCGAGCCCTCCAGAGATCATCAACCAACGCGACCAATGCCATTTCCGTGCTGTGCTCAGACCTGAAACCCGACTGGAATGGATCTAGATAAGATGTTTCCTCCAGGAATTGTGGAAACTGTCGCGCAACCACACTCTCAACAACCTTCGCCATAAAGCGAAGGTTGGAGACAGGATGGTAGTTGGCCAATATTGCCGGATCCAGGAACGGCTTCTTGAGGAGAGGCCTCACCACCGTCTCTTTCAGGGCAGCGGGGAAGTGACCCTCACTCAACGAAGCATTAATAACGCCTGGAGCCAGCCTCGTGTAACCTCCCGGGAAGCCAGTACCAACCAGGAGGGACACGGGTACAGTAAACATGTGGCCGCACTAAGTCTCCCAAAATCCTGTCCACATCATCGGGAGTCACAGCATCAAACTTCTCCCAAGTAACATTCTCAAGACTATTCCTCGTCACTCTGCCCTGATCTACCCAGTCAGAGTCCAAATCCCGCCGGATCTGAGCGGTTTTGTCATATAGGTATTGTCCGAAATCCTCCGCCCTGCCTTCTAAGGGATCCTCCCGCACTCCCGGATGGAGCAGGGAGCGGGTCACTCTAAACAGGGCAGCTGGACGATTCCCTGATGACACAATAGAGGGGGAAAAGTAGTTAAACTTTGCCGTCTTTATCGCCACTAGGTAGGCCTTAATATGCGACCTTACCAGTGTTCGATCAGATTCAGCGAGACTGGCCATCCAAACCAAGGAGCTGCACGGGATCGGCACCGGGTCAGAGGCCGCAAAGGCACGACTCGGTCCAAGGCCCCACCAGCCGCCCAATCCCAGGCGGCTACCAAGTCCTCGGCCGAGTCATGTGCTAGAACCTCAGGAAATGGCCCAAGCTCCATCTGGAACCTCTCAGGATCCATCAGGCACCTGGGGCGGATCCATCTAATTGGATCCGCCTCCCTGTGGCGGGGGGCAGCGGTTCGAAGATCTAGGCGAAGGAGTGAGTGGTCTGTCCATGACAAGAGTTCCATGTCTATATCCCCAATAACAAGACCACTCAACCACTGGCCAGAGACAAAAATCAAGTCCAGAGTGTGACCTCCCCTGTGAATAGGGCCATGAACTAACTGGGTCAGGTCCATGGCCATCATGGAAGCCATGAATTCCCGAGCCACCTCAGACGTTTCACCAACGGATGGCAAGTTGAAATCATCCATGACTAAAAGCCTGGGTGTATCTACTGCCACCGTGGCTATCACGTCGAGTAGCTCAGGTAGGGCTGTTGCCACGCGGCAGGGAGCCAGGTATGTAAGCAGCAAGTCCATCTGAACCCCACGGCCCCACCTCACAAGGAGGGACTCACATCTGGCTATCTGAGGCACAGTGGTCTCCCTCGGACCCAGATCCTCATTAATAATAACCGCCACCCCACCCCCCCGCCCCTGGGCCCTCGGCTGATGGAATGCTCTGAAGCCCGGTGGGCACATTTCAATCAGAGGGACGCCGCCCTCCGGGCCCAACCAGGTCTCCGTAATACCCGCCACATCCGCTCCTCCCTCTTGTATAAGATTGTGAATGAGGGGGGCCTTATTGACCACGGACCTGGCGTTGCACAGCATCAGCCGAAGACCCAGATCCTGAGTGTCTAAGCCACCTAGTATCCAAGCGGAGCCTTGGGGACCGGGGCAAGGAATTGCTCTCAGACAGTGAGTGCGAGCCCCCAACACCTGATATGGTCCCCTGCTCCCACCATATCTGCCCCTCCCATCTACTGTGCCGATGGTACAACCCTCATAGATATCGTCCCCCATCCCTTTCCCAATCCCTCGTCCAGTGCCCCCCAAATCGTTACCCTGTGCCGGGCACGGTTCTGACCCTGGTGGATTTCCCCACCATATTGAGGACACATTTCAGAGAAATGAAGCCTAATCAATATATCCAGAGGTTTCAATTCAAACTGAAGGAGTAAGGAACTCAGCATTAGGAAATCAACATCTTTGTATGCATGCATTCACCCATGTGTTCATAATTTTCAAGTTAAACAGATTTCTGTCTAAAAAGTTTTTTAAAAATGAAGACATACATTACCAAATCAATAAAGTATTGCAAAACAGCACACAAAATTAGAATGTCTTAAGAGGAAGCACTTTTTGGTTGCAAAAAGCACTTACCTTTGATGGGTTAATAACAATATTTCTAGCAGACCCATGTTCATCTCCTGAGAAAGCTGGCTGATTACTGAAACCTTGTTTTACATTTACAGCAGTTAGCTCATCCTACAAATAAAGTACAATGTTAACTTAGTTTTGCAGCAGGTTCCAAATTTAAGCGAGGTCAGATTCTCACTAAGGAATTAAAAATTCTGTTGCGCTATGTATAAACATTTCACACTTTCTTTGCAAATGCAAATCTGTTTATGAATTTTTGTTATAAATATTTTATACACAATTCTCTTATATTATCTAAAAATAATTAAAATTTGGCACTTATCAAATTGATCTGAATACTTCTTTTAAAAAAAGTCCAGACAATCTCACACATTTAATGATACAAACACTGGGGTTTTAGGCACATAGGTAATTATTTCTTCCACTTCTACTACTATTTGTTTTACCCTGAAACAATATCCAGGGAAAGCCAGTTTGATGTAGCAGTTAAGGCATCAGGCTAGAAACATAGTGAACCGTGAGGTCTTAGTCACACTTTAGACATGAAGCTGGCTGGATGAACCTGAGCCAATCATTTTCTCTCAGTCTTAGGAAGGAAGCAATGGCAAACCACTTCTGAAAAAATCTCGCAAAGAAAAATGCAGGAACTCATCCAAGAGTCTCCAAGAATTTAATATGATTGAATGGAAGAAAAAAAAAATCAAAGATCTTATTCAGATTGGCATTTAGGAATGAGACAATTTATGGATAATACAAAAAAACATGCTGTTATATTTGAATACATTACAGAAACAAATCATTAGACAACTCAGGGTGCAATTGGTTGTGGTTGTGATTCAGGTGACTCTGAAGGCATAGATAAACCTCCAAGTGGCCTCAATAGCTCTCAGAGAGAGTGCTAATAACCAGATGACTGCAAAGTAACACAATCCTTCCATTTCCTCCCCAGACCGCCTCCATTCTATCAGAACCTATCCTTCCATCCTCCCCACCATAAGACCTGATGAAGTTTCTTGGATGAGAAGTAAAACCGGGGGTGAAATGCTACCAGTTTGGACCAGTTCAGCCAAACCGGTAGCGATGGCGGTGGGTGGTTCAGAGAACCGGTAGTGACGGTAGCACAAGGCTTCGCTCACCTACCCGGTCGTCATTACTTCCTGGTTTTAACCAAGAAGTAAACTGTTTTTTACCCTCTCCACATGCGTAGAGGGTCTGTGCATGCACATGACGCATACATGCACATCCGAACCAGTAGGGAAGGTAAGTAGATTTCACCCCTGAGTGAAACATTTTTGTCTTCTTCCTCAAGGAAAAAACAGTCCAGTTGCCTTGTAAAAAAAAAAAAAAAACACATTTGAGACAACTATGACCTGGATGACTGAGAATTTCCACAGAGGTTTAGATTTCTAGTTTTAGTTAATCTAGTTAATTTAGTTAAGACTAAAGCTAGCTTTAGCGCAATGTGCTATTATGTTTCATTCTCATAAAATTCGGCAACAAAAACACTCTAGACTTCAACAGAGATCAAAATTCAAATCCTTGTCATTAGTTTTGAAGCTAACTCATTTCAACAGTGAAGATGAACCAGTCTTCTGTTTAAACAATAGCACAGCTGTACAGATGAAACTGTGATCCATTGTAATCCATCTGAACTTCTATTTAAAAGATGCAGATGTAATTTTGAAGATATCCTTAGTAACTATATCCTTCAGTGGTACAAGGCCTCCCCCTTACCTCTTCATAAACTTGCGAAACGTCTAACCGTGATCATGTACAAATAAAGTGAAAACTATATTTTATTTATTTATTTATTTATTTTAATTTGTATACCGCCCTACTCCTGAAGGACTCATATATACTGTGTCACAGCTTAGCATTTAAAATATTTCTGCATCTGGCACATCATCTTTCCATTGGAAATTTAACTCCTATTTACAAATCAATAAATCATCACCATATATGTTTCCTAACTTTCTATCTTGCATATCCTAGCTACTATGTGGAGGAGTAATGAATCAAACTGCCCATATCAGAAAGTATAATGTTTTTCCCAGTCCAGTATATCAGGCCCATTTAAAGGACAAAAGGTAGAGACTAATGCTACATTTTAATGTATTCTCTAAGCCAAGGGTCCTCAAACTTGGCAGCTTTAAGACTTGTGGACTTCAACTTCCAGAACTTCCAGCTATGCTGGCTGGAGAATTCTGGGAGTTGAAGTCCACAAGCCTTAAAGCTGCCAAGTTTGAGGACTTCTGCTCTAAGCCATTAAATAAATAAATAAATAAATAAATAAATAAATAAATAAATAAATAAATAAATAAGTGTGTGTGTGTGTGTGTGTGTGTGTGTGTGTGTAGGTCTTTGATTATTCGGGTTTTCTCCCACATAAAATTGGAAGTGTCTTGGCGATGTTTCGACGAAGTCTCATTCGTCATCTTCAAGCTGATGCTTTCGGCCTCATGCTTCTAGGAGCAATGTGTGTGATCGCAGCTGTTTCTTCCTTTTAACTGGCAGTGGGGGTGTGAACTGATTGGGTGGGAGCTTGGCTGTGTTTTGATTGGGTGGAGGTGTGTTCTGATTGGTTGGGGGTTTGGCTGTGCTCTGATTGGATGGGAGGTTGGCTGTGCTTGATTGGCTGGGGGTGTGTTCTGTTTAGGTGGGAGCTTGGTTGTCGTCGGGTTAGTCTGAGTAGCAGGGGGATTTGAGCTGGTGAGCTGCGTTGCTGTTGTTTGGCTTTGCGTTCATTGTCGTGCCACATCTTCATGGTGGGTGTCAGTTAAAAGGAAGAAATAGCTGCAATCACACACATTGCTCTTGAAGCACGAGGCTGAAAGCATCAGCCTAAAGATGATGAATGAGACTTCGTCGAAACGTCGCCAAGACACTTCCAATTTTACGCGGAAGAAAACCCGAATAACCAAAGACCTACACCGCGAAAATCTCAGAAAACACAGACATACACACACACACACACACACACACACACACACATATATATATATAATCTGTATGTATATATGTATGTATGTAATTGAAAAGCAAAATTGAACAAGTTCAATTATGTACAGTGATTTCAAAATGCATACAAGGATTTTTTTTTTTTTGAGCCAGCTGAGACACATCCTTTTGATTAAATGAAACCAGCACACTAACTTTTTAAATGCAAAGAGATACTTTTGAACAAACAGTCCTCCTTGTGCCTTCAGGCTTGTAATCCCAGCACTTCCCTGAAAAATGTACATTCAGTCTTAATGTTTGTAAAAAACAAAAAACAAAACCCATACTGTTTGCCTTTGTTGTACTACACTATCAAATGTACACAGTTCCTGATTCAGGACAACATGAACCTGATGAACAGCTTCAAAGAACAGCAACCAAAAAGCATTCAATTGATTTGCACCATAGATCTTATTTTTATCCAAGAACTGGATGTTCTCTATTGGGAAAAGTAAATTTTTCTATCCATAGATAACACCAATAGATTTTAGATATAAATCAGGAACAGTAGACGTAAGATATTGTAACAAAAGTGTTCTATCAGAATAGGCATCTGTAACAAAAATTCTGCCCACATTCAATCACCTACAGGTAGACCTTGACTTGTAACCATGGCATAGGACCTGGGTATTTGTGGGACTGCCTTCTGCCGCCGATAGCCTCCCACCGACCAGTAAGCTCCCACAGAGAGGGACTCCTCAGGGTGCTGTCAGCCAGGCAATGTTGGCTGGCGACCCCCAGGGGGAGGGCCTTCTCTGTGGCAGCTCCTGCCGTCTGGAACGATTTGCCCCCGGAGATACGGGGGTCTTTCGCCATGCCCTGAAAACTTTTCTTTTCCATCAAGCAGGGCTGGCGTGAAACCCCCCCTTTTTTTAGTTTTTTTTTTTTTTTTAGTTTTTTAGTTTTTTAGCTTTTAATCTGTCAATGGGTTTTAATTCGAATTGTTTTAAATTTGGGCCAAAGTATGTAATTCTTTTAATAATTTTAAATTTTGTATTGGTATGTGTTTTAGTTCTGGCTGTGCACCGCCGTGAGTTCACTAGGAGAAGGGCAGTATACAAATTGAATAAAATAAAATAAAATAAATAAATAAATAAATAACCATTCATTTAGTTTGAAGTTTTCATTTAATGACCACCTGAAGTTATAACAGCACTGGAAAATGTGACTTATAACAGTTTTTCACACTTGATTATTGTATTATCCCCGTGGTCACGTAATAAAAATTCAGACTCTTGGCAATTGGCATGTATTTATAATGGCTCCAGTGTCCCAGGGCCCTACAATCAACTTTTGTGACTGTCTGACAAGCAAAATCAATGGAGAAGCCAGATGCACCGAACTGTGTTACTATCTTAACAACTGCAATGATTCACTTAACAACTGTGGCAAAAAAAATCTCATAAAATGGCACAAAATTCACTTAACAACTACCTAACATAGCAAAAGAAATTTGGTTCAATTGTGGTTGTAAGCCAAGGACCATTTGTAATTCCTGCATCCTTGGTCTTGCTCTATGGGACATGACATTCACCAATTGCATTTTTATTCTCATTAGTTCTTTGATATTTCATGAAAGCCCAGCTTCATTATCCAGAACTATTGGGATTACAACTCCCAATATTTCCAGCCTATGTCACCTAAAGCTTTAACAGCAATCTATCTTGTTGATCTTGTTAGCTGCTTTAGGGGTTATTAGACTTTTTCAGCAATTAAAACCAGCTGTAAAACAGCAATGATTCAGACATGACATAGTGACCTAGTTTATTCCTCAAATTAAATCACAATTGGCTTGATTCATATACTGCCCTAAGCCATAAACAAAAATTCACAAATGATAATAGTTGGACTCAGAGAAGACAATATGACAAAATGAAGCAATATTTTATTTATTTTATTTTATTTATTTTAATTTGATTTATATGCCGCCCTTCTCCGAAGACTCAGGGCGGCTTACAATGTGCTCAGCAATAGCCTTCATCCTTTTGTATATTTATACAAAGTCAGCTTATTGCCCCCACAAACTGGGTCCTCATTTCACCTACCTTAGAAAGGATGGAAGGCTGAGTCAACCTTGAGCCTTGGCGAGATTCAAACCCTGCAGTAATTGC